TCAGTTATTCTGAATAGAAATTAAGTGCACTTGTGACTAGGAGGGAGGAGACTTACTGTTGTTCAGAGATGGGTGTGTTTAGCCTGATGCAAGGGGCATTCAGTGGTTGCTAGGTGCATTTTTAGGAAAGAAGTGTGTGTACATGGGATGTATAGGTGAAGGAGCTAGGCTGCCAAGTGCATTATTACAATAGATGTGTGTATATAACCAAAATCAAATGCAATCCTAGGCCAAGTGGTCTGTGTTTGTTTGCCTTGCATCTCTTTTCCCCAATTGATTTTTTTTTTTTTTAACTCTGCCATAGTGATGATGTGAAGTCTGATTTGCTATAAGTGTGTTCTTATCAGGAGCAGCCTCATGTTTATAGCCCCTTCCTTCACCCCTTCCAATCTTTGTAACTACATCTGGCTTTGAACTCCTGATCCTCCAGCCTTAACTCCCAAGTGCTAAGATTACACTACACTAGAGTACCACCATTTAGGACTCCTGGTCCCTCTCTGGGTTGTGAGAGTGGGTATTGAGACTTTGACTTGTATATTGGGGTGGCCTTGAACTCAATAACCTTCTAGCCTCTGGTACATGGAAACATGCTACTTCTGTGTATGATAAAGAACAATGACTCATCTCCTATAAGAGCTTATTTTTTCAGATCTGTTTTTGTTATTCTCATACAAATTAAAATGTTTTTACTTGGGCCGGAGAGATGGCTCACTGGTTAGGAGCACTTGCTGTTCTGCCATGGGACCCAGGTTTGGTTCCCAACACCTTCCTAGTGGCTCACAGCCACCTGTTACTCCAGTTCCAGGGAGTCCAACCCCCTTTTCTGGATTCTATGGACCAGGCACACATGTAGCACACATACACAACATTCATGCAAAACATTCTTACACATAAAAATACAAATCTTTTAAAATATGATTTTACTTGTGTAAGCTTCTGTGTTTCTTATGCTTCTTCCTAGGAGTTTGTTTTTAGGTGCTTTCCTTCAATTATAGTTTTTGTTGTTTTTGAAAGAGTTTCGCTGTGTAGCCCTGACTATCCTGGAGTTTACTTTGTAGACCAGAGTGGCCTCAAATTCGAAGAGCTCTACCTGCCTCTGCCTCCTGAGTGCTGGGATTAAAGGCGTGTGCTACCACCACCCAGCTTTAATTATAAAATTTTAAGATTATAGTATTTTCATTTTTAAAAACCCACTATTTTATTATTTGAAATTTTCAAATAATTTGATCATATTCAACAGCATTCTTCCCAGGTCCATAACCCCCTCTACTTTCTGTTTTGTTTTGTTTTTAAGAAGAGACTCTCACAGTGCATGTTCTGGTTCTTTGGCTCTAACAATCTTTCTTTTCCTTCTGTCCCCTGAACCTTAGATGTAGGGATTATGTTGTATGTGTATTAATTTGGGATGAGCGCCTCACAGATATTCTTCTCTGCATTTTGCCAGTTGTGGCTTTCTATAATTTCTATCTGTTAGTTTAAAATTTTTTTATTATATATTTGTACCTGCATGTCTGTTGGTGAGGGGTGTATGTGCACATGAGTGCAGGTGCCCTTGGAGTCCAGAAGGAGGTGTCTTATCCCCTAGAGACAGAACTACAGGCAGTTGTGAGCTGCTGTCATGGATCCTAGGGACTGAACTCAGGTCCTTTGCAAGAGCAGTGTGCAGATTAATTGCTGAGCCCTCTCCGCACCCCATTTCTTCAATTACTACTTCTAGATAACTGACTTCTGCATGTCAATTTTTACACACACACACACACTCCCTTTTTTTATTTTATTTTATGTGCATTGATGTTTTGCCTACATGTATATCTGTGTGAGCGTATCAGATCCCCTGGAACAGTAGTTATAGACAATTGTGGTGAGCCACCATGTGGTTGCTGGGAATTAAACCCAGGCTCTCTCGAAGAGCAGCCAGTGCTTTTAACCACTGAGCCATCTCTCCAGCCCCCTCCCTTTTTTTTTTTTTTTGGTTTTTCAAAGACAGGGTTTCTCTGTAATGCTGTGGAGCCTGTCCTGGAACTAGCTCTGTAGACCAACCAGGCTGGCTTCAAACTCACAGAGATGTGCCTGCCTCTGCCGGGATTAAAGGTTCGTGACACCAATGCCCGCCTCAGCCCCCCCCTTTTGCTTTACATATATTTTAATTTTTCTTTGAATATCTAGGAATGCATACTTATTATATAGATCATGTGTGTTTGTTTGGTTTTGAGACAGTCTGATGCAGTCCACAATGGCCTTAGAACTCCAGAACTCACTGTGACTTTGAACTTTTGATCTCCTGTCTCCATTTCATTCCTGGGTTTCGAACCCAGTTTCATGCTTGGTAGGCCAGGACTTTACCAATTGAGTTACCTCTCAGTTTTCCTTTTCTGTTTCATTAAAATTATTTTGCATTTATTTATTTATTTTATTTTATTTATTTATTTATTTTTTTGACACAGAGGTCTCTCTGTGTATTCCAGGCCTCTGACATACGAATGCCTGGATTAAAGATATATACTACCATACCTGGCTGTGGGTGGTGGTGATAAGGTTTGAGTGCCATGCACACATCTGGAAGGAGTTAGTTCTTTCACTATATAGATCCAGGCTTTGGGGCAAGCAGCTTCACCTCTTGAGCCACCTTAACCCTCAAGTTTTAAATGTTTATTTTATTTTTTTAATTGGTGTGGCAGGTATGGTACTTCTCAGGAATTTTCATTCAAGTCATGATATATACAGGACATTATCTTTTTAATATATGATAAGGGAGATGATAGAACCAAGGGGTTGAGACACCTAGGCCTTGCCTAACATCGAAGTTGGGAAACCTTATGCCACTGTAAAGTATATTTAAAAGAAATGATCAGAAACTTATCTTAAATCTGATGATAATTGAACTATATCTAGTATGCTAGTGGGTGAATAAATTTATTTTTGGTTTGTTAAGAAATATCCATATAGTCCCATCTTATCTAGAAATTTTAGTTCATTCAGACTTGGTTTTACTTAAGTTCTGCTGATATATATTATTCTTTGAGTCTTAAAATATGAAATAAGATGAGAGATGATATAGGAGAAGAGGAGGATTGTAAGAAATTGGAGACAGATGTGGGAGTGAGCAGTAGTAACAAAATGTATGGTTTTTATTCTGGAAGCAGGGCTCAGGAAGGCTTTGGAGAGGAAGGAGTGTGCACACTGAGCTCTGGAAGGAGGATAGGAAGGAACATAGTACTTGTGAAATTGTGTTCTGTAACACATTTGTTAAGAATAGTTAGACTAAAAGCATAAGTATAACAGATGAGTAGATTATAGCCGGCCCATAGTGCTGACCACCTGGAAGACTTTGGAGTTCATTCTGGAGGTGACATAGTTGCTGTGTGGTGAATGTCTTAAACTGATGTGGGCGGGTAGGTGCCTTATTCCATTTGAGGAAGACAAGGAAAGAGATAGAAGGCCTGAGCAATGATGTGTTTGAAACCAGCTTGCATTCAAAATGATCTAAATTCTTTTGGATCATCTACAAAGAGCAACTAGTAATTCCCACATTTTGAGGCACTGTATACTGAATGCTTGTAGTGTAGTCACAGGGGTAATAGAAGAAGATGGGGCCTGAAGAGATTACTTAGAGGACTTGCTCTTGCAGAGGACCTGATTTCATTTCCCAGGATCTATATGGCGGCTTACAGCAATCTGTAACTCCAGTTCTAGGGGGTCTGACTCCCTTGGCTGGCCACCGTGGGCACCAGGCACATATGTGGTGCACCAGTGTTCAGACCAAACCCCCATAGACATAAAATACAAATAATTTTTTTCTCCCCTGAGACGGTGTTTCTCTGTGTAGCCCTGGCTATTCTGGAACTCACTCTGTAGACCAGGTTGTCCTCAAACTTACAGATACCTGCCTGCCTCTGCCTCCAGAATTCTGGGGTTAAAGTTGTGTGCCACTACATCCAGCTAATAAGAACTTTTTAAAAAATAGTATAAAATGGGGCTGGAGAGATGACTGGCTCAGTGGTTTAAGAACATTAGCAGCTCTTCCAGATGTCCTGTGTTCAAGTCCCAGCAACCACATGGTGGCTCACAGCCATCTGTAATGGATCTGATGTCCTCTTCTGTCGTGCAGGCTCTATATGTAGGTAGAGCACCATATACATAAAATAAATAAATCTTAAAAAATAGAACAAGGCCGGGCAGTTGTGGCACTTTAATCCCAGTATTCAGGAGGCAGACAGATGGATCTCTGTGAATTTGAGACCAGCCTGGTCTACAGAGCTAGTTCAAACCTTGTCTCCCAAAACAAAACAAAACAAAAGGTACAAAATGGGAAAAGATGGAAGAGGAAGTACTTTTTCTGTGTTAACTACTTTAATTTTAGAGCTTTACATGCATGAATTATTAACACTCTTCCTAAATATCTATGACTATTGTGCATCAGCTAAAAGGAAATAGGAATGTGTGTGTAGACCAGACGTCAATCTTGGGCATCTTCCCTCAGGAACTGTCCACCTTAGGTTGTGTTATATTCTCCTTTCATCCAGCCTTGTCCAGATGTGTCCTCTCCATCCTGTCCCAAGTCAGTGACTAGGCTAGGTTGGCTGGCCACCCAGAGATCTGTCTGTCTGTAACCACATGCCCAGGGTTAGGATACAGGTACTCCCCTCCAGCACATGGGTGCTGGGCATCAGACACATGCCCTTGTGTTTTTGAAGCCAGTGAGTGCTTTACCAACTGAGCCAGGCCCAGAGGGAAGTCTTGAGTACAGTCTTCAGAAAGTTTGGTAAGGTGTGCTATATGTGTTCTCATGAAAGAACAGTCCTCTACTTTCTGTGGGATCAAGAAACTCCATCAACACACTTCAAGTTTAAAGTGGTCTACACAATTTAAGTAGTTGTATTGTTAATGATAAAGAATGTTGTTGAAATTTTATGAAAGTGTTATTGAGGTAAATATTCAATTTGAAATAAAGTTCAGGTATAAAGTAAAGTATATTTATTCATATTTTTTTTTTCTTCTAGTTACTGTTTCTGGAAAAGGAGAAAATGGTAAGACTCTTAGTCTCCCTTTAAGTAGAGTCATATGCAAGCAAATACTCTTCATTTAGTGGTGAATACATGTGTTTTTGTTTTCCTAAAAGGCAGGCAGTATCTTAAAGGATTAACATAGTCATGTTATGTAAGGCTCCTAGTACTACTTTGTGTAATTTCATGCATGTCTGCCTTGTGTGTTCCTCAGAGCTCTCTCTATTTCAATTCTAATAGCAGTCTTTACTGCTTTCATAATGCCTAAATCCTAGGGATGGTCCCGTTGTCCATGTATTTGTTCAGAATAGCACATTAGTACTCACAGATACCTTAATCAAATAACCAGATTTTAAATTTGTATTATTAGCTCAGGGGAATATAAGAGTTTATAATGACCAATCAAACAATGCCTGGGGTAAAGATCTTTTCTAAGAATTTCAATAGAATTAAAGAAAACCTAAGTAGTACCATTGAAGTAAAATTTCAGAAACCAAATTAGATTTCAACATACAAAAACCTAGAGGATTCTAAAACAGTTGGACAATTAATAATTACTAATATTTATTTATTTTAATTTTGGTTTTTCAAAACAGGGTTTCTCTGTGTAGCCCTGGCTGTCCTGGAACTCTCCCTGTAGTACAGGCTGGGCTCAAACTCAGATCCATTTGCCTCTGCCTCCTGAGTTCTGGGATTAAAGGTGTGTACCACCATACCCAGTTAATAAAAACTTTTAAAAAATAGTACAAAATGGGAAAAGATGGAAGAGGAATTACTTTTTCTGTGTTAACTACTTTAATTTTAGAGCTTTACATGCATGAATTATTAACACTCTTCCTAAATATCTATGACTATTGTGCATCAGCTAAAAGGAAATAGGAATGTGTGTGTAGACCAGACGTCAATCTTGGGCATCTTCCCTCAGGAACTGTCCACCTTAGGTTGTGTTATATTCTCCTTTCATCCAGCCTTGTCCAGATGTGTCCTCTCCACCCTGTCCCAAGTCAGTGACTAGGCTAGGTTGGCTGGCCACCCAGAGATCTGTCTGTCTGTAACCACATGCCCAGGGTTAGGATACAGGTACTCCCCTCCAGCACATGGGTGCTGGGCATCAGACACATGCCCTTGTGTTTTTGAAACCAGTGAGTGCTTTACCAACTGAGCCAGGCCCAGAGGGAAGTCTTGAGTACAGTCTTCAGAAAGTTTGGTAAGGTGTGCTATATGTGTTCTCATGAAAGAACAGTCCTCTACTTTCTGTGGGATCAAGAAACTCCATCAACACACTTCAAGTTTAAAGTGGTCTACACAATTTAAGTAGTTGTATTGTTAATGATAAAGAATGTTGTTGAAATTTTATGAAAGTGATATTGAGGTAAATATTCAATTTGAAATAAAGTTCAGGTATAAAGTAAAGTATATTTATTCATATTTTTTTTTTCTTCTAGTTACTGTTTCTGGAAAAGGAGAAAATGGTAAGACTCTTAGTCTCCCTTTAAGTAGAGTCATATGCAAGCAAATACTCTTCATTTAGTGGTGAATACATGTGTTTTTGTTTTCCTAAAAGGCAGGCAGTATCTTAAAGGATTAACATAGTCATGTTATGTAAGGCTCCTAGTACTACTTTGTGTAATTTCATGCATGTCTGCCTTGTGTGTTCCTCAGAGCTCTCTCTATTTCAATTCTAATAGCAGTCTTTACTGCTTTCATAATGCCTAAATCCTAGGGATGGTCCCGTTGTCCATGTATTTGTTCAGAATAGCACATTAGTACTCACAGATACCTTAATCAAATAACCAGATTTTAAATTTGTATTATTAGCTCAGGGGAATATAAGAGTTTATAATGACCAATCAAACAATGCCTGGGGTAAAGATCTTTTCTAAGAATTTCAATAGAATTAAAGAAAACCTAAGTAGTACCATTGAAGTAAAATTTCAGAAACCAAATTAGATTTCAATATATAAAAACCTAGAAGATTCTGAAACAGTTGAACAATTAACAGCTATTAATATTTACTTTATTTTTGAAATTAGTTAAAAGCAGTGTTTCTCTTATTATTTGTTAGTTGTCTATTAGTTATGTCCCAGGCATTGTGCTTAGAGCTTAATTTATTTAACTGAAAATGTGTTTTAAACCAAACCAATTTGTTTGAGTGCATGGAGAGTGGAACCTTCCTAAAGAAATAGTAAGTGTTAGTAGAAGAGTTCAAGAGTCTGTTAATGCTGGTCTAATTATAAGTAATTAAGTTTAAAGCACTTCAGTGTTGACATGTGTCTTAAAAGTAGTAGTGGACAGTCCAGTGGTTCTCAAGTTTCTAATGCTGCCACCCTGTATTGCAGCTCCTCATGTTGTGCTGACCCCAACCATAAAATTATTTTCATTGGGGCTGGAGAGTTGGCTCAGAGGTTAAGAGCACTGGCTGCTCTTCCAGAGGTCCTGAGTTCTGGTGCCAACAGAACACTATATATGTAATAAAAATAAGTGAACAAATTTCTAAAAATTAGTTTTCATTGCTACTTCATAACTACAATCTACAATGTTGCTACTGTTATGAATTGTAATGGAAATATTTTTGGTGGTAGAGGTTTGTCAAAGGGGTCAAGGCCCACAAGTTGAGAACCACTGGTGTACATGAAGATGCTAACTTGATTGGTATGCCCCCCGCCCCCAATGAATACAGAAAGTACGGGTGAAATACCACTTCAGAGTCAGTGAATGGCCTTAGAACCAGTGTCAGAGAAAGGAGCTAAGCTCCAAATGAGTTTCTAAAGGAAAAAGCAATGAAGCAGTGCTCTTTGAGTCCACTGGATAGACTATATGATTGACCTCGAGGGAAGAGACCACATAGAGAAATGCAGCTCGCTGAGAGGCCAGGGTTTTCAGTGTGGATGACAATATTAGAGGAAATGAAAAGAAAGACTACTGTAAGTATGGAAGGAAGTGGTGATTAGGGTTAACTTGGAATTCAGATATTAGCACAGAAGTAGTGCTGGTGACTGTTAAATGCTGGCTAGTAAAAGTGGAGGAACAGTTTTCAGATAGAAGTGAAAAACACTTGTAAATTTCAATTCAGTACAGGAACATTAAATTCTCTGAGCCTCTGTGTTCACATTCCTCAGGGTTAGAAAGAAAGCATGTGCCATTTGCTAAGAGGCTTTCAAGAGGAAGCAATGAAGATTTGAGTATAGTCAAGTGGGACCAAAAGTCTCCTAGTTTTGTTAGGACTCATTGGTGTTTTGCATGTATTAATTTACCTTTTATTTTCCTTTTTTTTTTTTTTTTTTCTTTCTTTTTTGGTTTTTCTGAGACAGGGCTTCTGTCTAACAATCCTGGCTGTCCTGGAACTCGCTTTGTAGACCAGGCAGGCCTCGAACTCACAGAGATGTGCCTGCCTCTGCCTCCTGAGTGCTGGGATTAAAGGAGAACTCCATCACTGCCTGGCTTAATTTATCACTGACTTTATAAGTGTTTAATTGAAGTCCAAACAAGTAGGAGTAATAAAGAGGAGCACCCTGTGAAAGTAAATTCTGAAAACGGAGAGAACTTTTAAGCTTAAAAATGAGTACAGTTCAAACTTGTTATCTTCAGAGTGTATATGTGGGACAGTTCACACCCCCCCCCCCAAAAAAAAAGTCAGGTCTTACTTCTTATAAAAACTAACCCTGTTTGTTTCAAATAGAAAAACTACAAAGTACAAAAAAAAAGGCTTAATATTATATCAGTGAGTTGATAGTTGCGAGTCCCAGATGTCAAAGGGGACACTGATCTACTTGGAAAAGATTCTGCCAGAAATTTAAAGTGGCTAACTTTTTCTTGTTAGCCTATGTTGAACAAGAGGATAAACTTCAAAATACTCTAACCTAGACAGGAATTGAATTTTCAAATTCATTCATTATTTTTGGTGATATTAAAAACTTTTTTGCTTTCTGTTTCCAGTTCCCCATGGCTTAATGTTCATAGAGATGGGTTCTTTTAAGTAATTTCTAAGTCATTGAGAATTAACATTTAAGGAAAACTTAAAGTTACTGTGAGTGGCCAGCTGTGGGTGCACATTGTTACACTAGCACTCTTTAACCATCCCAGTGTGAGAGAAGCAGAGGCAGGAGGGCCATGAATTCCAGACCATCTTGGACTACGTAGTAAGTTCAAGGCCAGCCTGATCTACAAAGCAACTTCCAGAACAGCCAGGACTGTTACACAGAGAAACCCTAAAAAAACAAAAAAAAAAAAAAAAAAAAAAAAAAAAAAAAAAAAAAAAGCAGAAACATCAAACATAGTGGGGAGCGATGGAACACACTTTTAACCCCAGCACTCAATAAGTAGAGAGGCCAGCCTGGTCTACAGAGTGACTGCTGGGACAGCTAGGGCTATGTAGAGAGAGACTGTCTCAAAAAAAGAAAAAAAGGAAGCAGTGAGCAAAAGTGTTCAAATGTGTTTTTAGCTTAGATCCTCAGCAACTGAATATAATCAAGTCTCACCAAATACAGCCTTTATTCATAAACTTATGGTTTATAAGTAAAGTTTATTTTATAACCTTACACCCCGAAACACAAGGATAGAATATTTCTTACTGTCTCTTACTGTTGTATCATATAGATAAAGGAGTTTATATGTTAGATATTTAATTAAGACTTTTTACTAAATCATGTCTTGTGACCATCTTCTTCTAATGTAATACATTTTCTTGTTTTCACCTGGACTCAATGAAATATTATTTGTTTTTATTTACCAGGAAAGACCGTTGTTTACCTTGTGGCTTTCCATCTGTTCTTTGTTATGTTTGTATGGTCCTATTGGATGACAATATTCACATCTCCCGCTAGCCCCTCCAAAGAGGTAAATTCTATGTTGGTAAATTGTCAAATGCTGTAACTGACTATGGAATGCTGTCCCTGTGTTACCTGTGTTAAAACCTTGCATGATACATTTGTTCTGTTTCCATTTGTGAATTCCCTTGGTGATGCTTGTGTTCAGCACAGTTTACTGACAGCATAGTAAATGTTTAATTACACTAATACTTTTCTGGCATGCTGAATTTTCTTAAACACTGGAATAGAAAGTTGAGGGTTGGAACTGAGCTAGGTAGAAGGGCCAGTTTTTTAGAAAATCGTCCATCCTATTTTCTCAGGCATGAACAAATGTGCTATATCTAAATCACATGTCACTATGGAAAACAGTTATTCAGGGTTCATCTTGCTGTGACTGCACTTTTCCTCTTGGAGGATATGCTTGGGAAATAACACAAGTAAAGATTTAAGTGGAGTAGGTATTGTAACTGGTGTCTCTCTTACCTTGACACAGAGGAAGTCTTCCCTCACTGAAATTTGGTATAGCAGGGTAATCAAGTCGCTTCTCTAGGCTGAGCATGGTGGTGGTACACTCCTGATAATATAGCTTTCTATGGAAGACACAGTGAAACTCTGTCCTCAAAATAAGCAAACAGCATGTATACACACACACACACCTACACATGCCAACACATATACATACACCACACACCAACACATGCAAAGTTGAGATGATTTGAGTTTGATTTTCTTTCTTTTTCTTCAACACATTAATTTCTGAGTTTCGGTTTTCTTGTCAGAAAATTGTGCCTATCTCTGTGGGATGCATGTGAGGACTGACATTTTCCAATTTTAACATATTTTGTTTTAGGATTAATATTCAAATATTGGATGTTAGTAGTAATATAATTGCTTTCATGTTAACTTTTCAAAATGTTAAAAAAATTAGAGATCATGGCCAGGCAGTGGTGATGCACACTTTTAATCCCAGCACTTGGGAGACAGAGGCAGGGAGATCTCTGTGAGTTCAAGGTCAGCCTGGCCTACAGAGCTAGTTCCAGGACAGCTAGAGTGGTTACACAGAGAAACCCTTTTGAGAGAGAGAGAGAGAGAGAGAGAGAGAGAGAGAAAGAGAGAGAGAGAGAGAGAGAGAGAGAGAGAGAGAGAGAGAGAGAATGTAGACTATGTAGTTTAAAATACCAACTTTCATTTAAAACTTTTATAGACAGCCTATATACAGAAAATAAAAGTCCTAAGTGTACTTGATAAGTTCCCACACAAGCTACTGCTATGAGGAAACCATGACCAAAGCAACTCAGGGAGGAAAGGGTTGATTTGGGTTGCAGTTCCATATCAGTGTACATAGAAGGATGTCAGGACAGGAACTCAAACAGGGCAGGAACCTGGAGGCAGGAGCTGATGCAGAAACCGTGGATGGGTGCTGCTTATTGGATTGTTCTGCCTGCTTTTTTATAGAACCTGGGATCAGCAGTCCAGAGATGGCACCACCCACAATGGGCTAGGCACTGCCCCATCACTCACAAAGAAAATCTCCTGCAGCCTTATGGACACATTTTTTAAAATGAGTTTCCCTTCTTTCAGATAACTCTAGCTTGGGTCAAGTTGATATAAAATTAGTTAGTCTATCATGTTCCCCTTTAATCCCAGCTGTGGCAGACAGAAGCAGGTGAATCTCTGAGTTTAAAGCCAGCCTGGTCTACACAGAAATTCCAGGACAGCCTGAACTACTTAATAGAAGCATCATGCCTAAAGAAACAAAAAGTTATTTCACAAAAATTGAGTATACACATTAACCATTATCCAAGCCAGTTCAGGGAACAGAATATTCCCAACCCTCTATCAGCCTTAGCTGATCACCCACTGCTTTATCCACTTGACAAACAACAGTAAGATTGGTAATGTATCCCCACCCACCCCACCCCTGTTCCCCACACCCCTGCTCCCACCTCTCACCATGGGTATTTATCTAGATTTACACTAGCAGGAATGGATTCCCTCTCATGGAGTGGGCATCAGATCCTATCAAGAAAAGTAGTTGGTTACTTCAGTACAGTCTTGCTGTTACTGCACCAGCGGACACACCTTGCCTGATGGGTACAGATATTATAATGCAAAAAGTCCACTGCTAGGTAGGTCTGTTTTCTCCATCAACAACTTACATAGCACCTGTAATGCGATTTCACTGGTTTATATTTTATATTTCTTTGTTTTAAAGACAATATTTGTTTTTACTCATCTTTTTAAAAACTATTTTACTGGTGTTTTGCCTGTAAGTTTGTCTGTGTGAGGATGTTGGATCCTGGAATTACAGACAATTGTGAACTGCCATGTAGGTGCTGGGAATTGAACCCAGGTCCTATGAAAGAGCAGTCACTGCTTTTAATCACCAAGCCATCTCTCCAGCCCAGTTTTTATTCATCTTTGAATCTGTGCCATTTGAAACAGTGCCTAACTTTATAAAGAGTTGTTATTTTTATATAGACTGTTCTGCCTGCATGTATGAATATGCACTGTGTGTGTTTGTGTGTTTGGTGTGTTTGGAGATCAAAAAGGGGCTCTGAGTCCCCTGGAATTAGAATTAATGACAGTTTGTAAGCTGCCATGCCAATGCTGGGAACTGAACTCTCATGCCCTCTGCAAAACAGTACATGTTCTAATCACTGAGCCAGCCATCTGTTCAGCCCCAGTGCCTAGCTCTTAATTGTTTTGTTGTTATTGCTGTTGTTGTTTTGTTTTGTTTTAATATATGTTTATGGTTAGGCTCTATAGTGAGCCTGTAAGCTGGCTATATAAGAAGCTGAGACTGGAGGATTGCTTGAATTCAGGAGTTTGAGATCACCCTAAGCAACATAAGCAAAACTGTCCCTTTAAAACAAAGATAATGGTTTAAAAGCATTTATTCCTAATTGTTTTGCTGCTGGGGATTGAGCCCAGGACTTTGTGCTAAATAGATGGTCACCATCCTTGGTCTAATGTTTAAGTGGAATTTTCTGAGCGTTGAATTTAAGATAATAATGGCATGTTGTAATTTAATTTGAATTATACTCAGTAGTATTGAATGTTGTATACTCTGGTATCTGAAAATTTTCATTTTATTTTAGGACCTCATTGTTTTACAACTGTCATAGTTAGGGTTTCTATTGCTATGAAGAGACACCATGACCACAGCAACTCATAAAGGAAAACATTTAATTGGGGTTGGCTTACAGTTTTCAGAGGTTTACTCCATTGTTATCATAGTGGGTGTCATGCAGGCAGACATGGTCCTGGAGGTGCTGAGAGTTTTCCATCTTGATCAGGCTTCAGCAGGGAGGGACTGTCACACTGGGCCTGGATTGAGCATATATGAGACCTCAAAGCCCCCCTCCACAGTGACACACTTCCTCCAACAAGGCCACACCACCTAATAGTGCTACTCCCTATGGGCCAAGCAGTCAAACACATGAGTGAGGGGGCCATTCCTATTTGAATTCTTAATTCAAACCACCACAACAATGATGCTGATGGGTAAAAGTGCAATCAAGCTAAGGTCTGGAATTCTACTGCAGGCATGATTTGTCAGCCCAGAGGAATTTCAGATTTTTATTATTCTTCTTGAAAGTGTTCAAGAGTCTGTGATGCTTAAGAAAGTTTCTGTAGACTTTCACCTTAAGACAGTGGTGGTCATCGTCAAGACAGGGTTTCTCTGTATTGTTGGAGCCTGTTCTGGAACTCACTAGGTAGACCAGGCTGGCCTCGAACTCAGAGATTCTGCCTCCCTAGTGCATCGATTAAAATCATGTGCCACCATTGCCCAGCCTAATAAATTTAATCTCTGCAGTTTTTGTTAAAATGTACATAAAGTTCAGTTGGAAACAAGTTTTGCTTTCATGAAGCAGAGTATTTGGGGGTCCTCTCCCTATTTCAGATAAAACTTTTCTTCGTCAATACAGTAGCTGAGAATTACAGATTCAGTAGTTGTCTCTCTCTATCTAGTTCTACTTGTCAAACTCTGAAAAAGAACGTTATGAGAAGGAGTTCAGCCAAGAAAGACAGCAAGACATTTTGAGAAGAGCCGCCAGAGACTTGCCTGTCTACACGACATCAGCTTCAAAAGGTAAGAGAAACAGGCTGAACTTAGCAAAGGAGTTGTAAATGTGCATCTCTGTCAGGGTAGATCTGCTTGGCTTGACTAATCACTGGGTCTTGCCAGGAACACGGGTTCCTGTTTAGGGTATCTTGTTTGGTATTTCAGATGTAGGTGGATAGTTACCTATATTAAGTCAAGTTCTCATTCTAATATAAATCGGGGTTTAGTTTGTCTTGTTGCTTGTTTTCACTAACACTCAGCCCTCTTGACTAAAGCTTCCAAGTACTGTTTCTAATATACTATCTGAGGATTCTGGTTTGAATTTAACTATTCCATGTCCTGAATGGTAATAAAAGAAATTAAGGATGTATGAAAAATGGGGAGAAGTAAAGACAACAGGGGGGAAATAGGCCAAAATAAGATTTTGTAAGGCCATGAACTGTGAACTATGTTATGTGCTGGCTAGTTTTATGTCAACATAGCACAAGCTAGAATCATCAGAGAGAAGGGAGCCTCAATTGGAAAAATGTTTCCATGAGATGGGGCTGTGGGCAAGCCTGTTGAACCTTTTCTTAATTAGAGTTGGGTAAGAGCCCAACCCACTGTGGGTGGGGCCATCCCTGGACTAGTGGTCCTGGGTTGTATAAGAAAGCAGACTGAGCAAGCTATGTTGAACAAAGTAAGCAGTACAGTAAGCAGCACCCTCCATGGTCTCTGCATCAGCTCCTGCTTCCAGGCTCCTGCCCTGTTTGAGTTCCTGTCCTGACTTCCTTCAGTGATGGACTATGATGTGGAAGTGTAAGCTAAATAAACCTCTCCTCCCCAACTCACTTGTGGTCATGGTGTTTCATCTCAGCATTAGCAACCCTAACTAGGATAGTTCATTGCCTGGTTCTAACCTCCTGTTTCCTCTGAGACAGTGCCCCCTCCTAAGGGTCAACTGAGGCAGAAATTTCCTTTCTTAGTGTTTAACTCTTTGATACAGAGGAGTCAGAGGTGCTGGGCTGGTCACATTATTATAGGAAATTGTTTAAATTATAAATAGTAGCAGCTTAATGGTTCCTCTGTACTGAGTTCTACACATAAGAACCCATTTAAACTCACAATAACCCGTGAGGTAGATATTGTAGTCCCATGTGTATATGGTAAAGTAAGACACTGTCCTGGGGTAATCTTTTCAAAACAATGAGAACTAGCCCAAGGTTCTGTGAGGCCAGTGAAAAGCAGCAGAGAAATTAGAGGGCAGGTTGGAGGTTACTGGGGGACTTGGAAGGAAGCATGGGCCCAGGCAACAGCAAGACCAAATTGACTGTGGTGGCATACCCTAAGCTGTGTAGCTCAGGCTGGCCTTGAACCCCTGCTGTGGCCTTAGGAGTGCTGGGATGAACTCAGGTACATTGCAGGTATTTGAGTGAAATTATAAATGGACTTACAGCATGCTGGCTGACTGTAGGAAAAGCCCACAGTAATCACTCAGAGAGGCCCTTACTGTGACTCAGGATGTCAGTGGTATATCAGTTTGAATCCCTATTGACACAGGTTGAATTACTTGTTCAAGATGACACAAGGCTTTATGTGAAGAAAACAGAATTTGAATCCAAGTACTCTAATTTAAGAACCCAATGGGCTTCTCAGTGACAGAGCACACGTACAGAGAGCTTACCTTTGTGGCTACAAATAAATCCTGACTCTGGTCTTACATAGTTCTATGCTAGCCCAGGTCACATAATGAGACTGTCTTTGAAAAAAAGGAAAGTAAGAAAAAAAAAAAAAAAAAAAAAAAAAAAAAAGGTTTTAATTGTCTGCAATAGTTTAAGGGGGTAAGGAGGTTTTAGGATTTTAAAAATGTAAAACAGGATGGTGGATTGGAGAGATGATGGCTCAGTGGGTAAGAGTGCTTGCTGTGCAAACATGAGACCAGAGTTTGAATCGCTACCACCTGTGTAAAAAATCCCAGGGTTGCAGTGAGTGCCTGTAACCCTGCAGGGTGGGGACAGGCACTTCCTGAGAGCACTAGCCAAAACAGCCAGCTTCCTGCCCAGTAGGAGATCCTGTGCCAGGGCAGTGGACACAAACTCACTCTGGGTTTCTGCAGCCTTGCCTGTCCTGGCACTCCCTCTGTAGACCAGGCTGGCTTCAAACTCAGAGATCCATTTGCCTCTGCCTCCTGAGTGCTAGGATTAAAGGTGTGTGTGCCAACAGCATCTTTTTTTTGTTTTTTTGTTTTTTTTTTAAAAGACAAGTCTAATTATGTAGCTCTGGCTAGCCTAGAGGTCCACTTCCCTCGGTCTCCTGAGTGCTGGGATTAAAAGCATGTACTACCATCCTGGCTAAGATCATCCAGTTTTGAATTAGTATATGTGCCCCTAAAGCAATTCGTTTCAACCTGTGGGTCATAACCCCTTTAGGGGATCAAATGACCCTTTCACAGGGGTTGCCTGTGAAATGTCACCACAACATAAGGAACTGTATTAAAGGGTCATAGCATTAGGAAGGCTAAAGAGCCACTGATACAAAAATGTGTCTCTTAACTAGGCCTAAGCATGGTTTCCTGACTATAACCGCAATATTCAGGGTATTGAGGCAGGAGAACTGAGCAAATTAAAGGCCAGTCAGTTTCTTCTATATTTTTGAGACAGGGTCTTTCTATATAGTCCTGGAATTCGCTACATAGACCAGGCTGTCCTTGAACTTAAAGAGATCTGCAAGAGCTGGGGTTAAAGGCAGATCTGGCTGTGTTCTGTTTCTTGTCTCCACAGGAGTGCTGTGCCCCCTTTCTGTATTGTATTTCAGCTCCCATCTCTCTATCCCCCATGGTGATGCAGATTGCACTCAGGGCCTCTCAAAGGCTAGACAAGCATCCTACCAGCCCTCAACTATGACTTTTAGCCATGAAGCTCTGATACCACCATTCATTATATTTAGTAGTTTCTTCTTAAAGCAGATTTAAGGATTTTATTGTATAAAGTCACCTTCCAAGTGTTGTGCTATATGCCTGGTATTAGGTGGAGTTGCAGCTGTACACACAGTTCAATGTCACCATTGCCTTGGCAGCCCTTTAACACACCAGGCTAAGCTATCCACTTTTAATAAATCAATTAAAGAGTCATCAAAATCAGAATTTTCCCCCTGAGGTTTATTCCATGTGTCCACATTGGGAAGAGAGACAAGACAAACTGGTAATTTACCTGAGTTCATCTTTGGTGTCGTAACTTGAGGGTAAAGTTTAAGTACGAGACCAAGCGGTCCCCGGTCAGGGTGTGGTACTGCACCTCTCTACAGCTAGCTCCATCTCTGTAAGGTCCTCTGCATAGTAATCCTGGGAGTCAAGTTCCTCTTCTGGCTGTCCCAGGACCTTGGCCTTCTTTTCTTCCTGCAGGAGATCCCTGGAGATGTTTCAGTAGTTTGACAGCCTAAGAGGGGGCACAAGTATCTCTAAAGCATATCTTCATTTCTGCCATATTTTATCATCAGAGAAGCTGCACCCTGGATCCTCATTCCCATGAGTTCAGAGGGATCTGACATTTTGCCCTAGCACACCCAGGAACTCTGAGTTGGCCATCATCATTCACCTGGGCATATGCCTTTCCATTCAGTGCCTGTCCACCCGGCCACCCAGCCAGAAGCCAGAGGCATTCTGGGTTCCCAATTATGAAAGGACATCTATACTTGAATGAGTTATTATTTGAACCTTCAGACTCACAAAAAACAGATTTCCATTTAAAGTCTAGTGCTATGAAAGCAGGAGATAAGTGTGCTGTGTTCACCTTTATTTCTAGAAATGGACAGTATTCATCATATGTAGGAACTCCCAAATACCATTGAACAAATGAAGGAACACCCCAGCAACACCCTGCTCTATTTCTGTCTTCAGCACTGCCTTTTTCTGGTTTCTCTATACAAGAAACTGAAGTTTCCTTTGATTGCAACTATTTCCTTAGCTTTATCTGCTTTTGTTAAGTATAGTTTTCTTTCTTGCTCCCTTCCTCCATCCTTCCCTCCTTTAGGCAGGGTTTCAATATGTAGTCTTAGAACTTGATATGTAGATCATGCCTGCCTTGAACTCACAGTAATCCTCCTGCCTCTGCTGGATTAAATTCTTGCAACACCACACCCGAGTCCAGCCCATGTCCCATGTTCTTGTAAGGCCTGTTTGATTTCATTCTCATCCCTGCACCTGTACATATGCACAGCTGTCACAGGCCAAGTGGAGGGAGAATGGAGAGGAAGAGACAGGCGGTGCTTGGCTTCTTTCTGATCCTGACCTTACTACGCATGTAGCCTTAGGTTTCTGTTTGGTGTGTGGACTCAGCATTAGTGGTGCCATCTGCAGCTTGCTGTCTTTTCCTTAATGGAATATGTGTTTGTGTGGGGAAATTCTTGTTCTGAAGAATAGTGCACTATACAGATACACCATAGACTATTTAGCCATTTCATGTATACAATTATTTCTAGGGGCTCAACAGTTAAGAGCACTGGCTGCTCTTCCAGAGGACCCAGGACTTCCTAGCACCCACATGGCAGCTTACAACTTTTGGTAATTCTAGTTCCTAGAGATCTGATGCCCTCTTCTGAACTTCAATCCACCAGGCAAAGTGGATTGTACAGAATTCAGGCACAACTCATACAGTCTTTTAAAGGGAGGTTATCCTGGCATTTTATTATTTAAAGTAGCTATAATAAGCATCCCTATTTATTATCTTTTAAAGATTTATTTTTAATTAGGTGTAGGGGTGTGTGTGTGTGTGTGTCTGCATGTAGGTATGTGTATACTAGAGAGGCCAGGGGTCTGGAGCTGGAGTTGTAGATGGTTGTGAGTCGCTTGCCATAGGTGCTGGGAACTAAACCTTGATCCTCTCTGGAAGAGCAAACAGCAAATGTTTTTAACCACTGAGCCATCTTTCCAGTCCCTCTATTTGTTACTGTTCAAATGAGCTAAGCAGTTTTCTGTAACTGAGTCTATTTCTTCTAACTAGAGTCTTAATTTTCCAAGATAAAGGGGTTTTTTGTTTGTTTTTCTCTCAAGTCTCATGCATCCCAGATTGGCCTCAAACTCCCTCTGTAGTTGATAATGACCTTGAACTTCTGATCCTTCTGTCTCAAGCCTCCCAGGTGTTGGATTACATACAGGCTTGCATTGCTGCATCTTGTAAGTACGGTGGTGGCCTTCAACCTAGGGCTTTGTGCAGGAGAGCCAGGCCAGCACTCTGCTGCCCTTATACTCTAACTCCCCTTGTTTCCTCAGTTGTTTGTAAATTAGACTCCTCCCATTCCCTCTCCTTATTGTCGTCCACTGTCACTGTCTAATGTGCTGTTCATCTCATTGATTCTCTTAGCCTCTACAACATAGAGTGTATAAGCTTCACCAAGTAGCGATTTTTGTTTAGATTAACAGGCACTTAGTAGGTGATTAGTGTCTTGAATGATTGAGTCAAAACTAGGCAATAATATAGCTTGTATTAGAATTTTAGTTGGAAAGAGGTTTTTGTTGTTTCAAAAATGAATTGTAATTGGTATAGAGTAGGGATTGATGCAGACAGAGGTGAATGCCTTAAAGTATTGTGGTAATCCGTTATAGATGTTGTGCTGTAGTCAACAAAGCACTGGGTTTTGTGACTCAGTGGACCTGAGTTCTGGCTCAGTTCTGCTGTTTGTCTTGGTGTTTGGCCTTCTGCAAGTCACTTACTTTGGATCTACTTTATCTGGATTGAAAAATTCTAGGAAGATACATTATGAGGCCCTTTTTTTCATGACATTTTGTTTGAGATGCTCTCTGGTGCATTTTGGTATTTTTAAATTTTAAATTTGGTATATTTCAAAAGTTAGGCTCTATAGATGGGCTCAGCTTGCACACCTTTGAGTTTCTTCTTTCTTCTCTCTAGCTGTCCGATACTGTGAAAAATGTCAGTTGATTAAACCTGATCGGGCTCATCACTGCTCTGCGTGTGACAGGTGAGTGTACTCAGTTTGTTTCCGGTAAATCCTACCCTGGAATTTGGCAACAGAGGAACATTTTACATGTTTTCTGCATATTTAGCAAAACCACTTCATCCTTTCCCATTATTTGCTATGGTTATAGAACTAACATAAATATTTGTATAAGCTAGAATATACTAGCTTATACAAATATACCATTTCTCTGCTAGTTGAGTGTAACAAGTATGGTTTTTTCCGCCCGCCACCGCTGGTCATGTCCCGCCGCCACGCCACCAGCCCCAAATAACACTCAGAGACTCTGTATTTGATACAATGCTGTTGGCCCGGTTACTTGTTTCTTATCGGCTAGCTCTGCCTTTAATTATGAACCCATTTCTGCTGATCTATGTATTTCTCTTACCGGGGAGCCGGCGGCATACTGCTTTCTCCAGACTCTCCATCTTGACTCCTCCTTACTACTTTCTATTTTCTCCTTGTCTCCTAGTCCCTCCTATCTTCCTTTCCTATTGGCCAACAGTGCTTTATTATTAACCAGTATGAGAAACACACAGAATGACATCTAGCTTTCTAGCCAGGTGTGGTGGTGCATGCCTTTAATCCCAGCATTTGTACTGATGTCTGAGTTCAAGGACAGACTGTCTCTGTACTTACACTTAATTTATGTTGATGAGCCAACAATTACAACCTCCTTGTAAAATATGACCACTTCTTGGACTAAAGATACTATAATGATATTTTCTTATTTTTTATTATCAATATTGATATTAAAACCAAAAAAAATCACTGAAGTAAATTCTATATTTGTTTTCAATAGCCATTTGGTCCATTTTAATCCTTGCTTTTATGTGAGAAGGTAGTATGGTAATGCAAAGATGTTAGCTTTAAACACTTGACTAACCCAAGCCTCTCAGACAAGCCATGTAAGTTTTTGGGTGTTGGGTTTCTTATTCTTATTTTATGAGATCTGTACTCTCAATTTTTTTTTTTTTTTTTTTTTTTTTTTTGGTTTTGTTTTGTTTTTTGAGACAGGGTTTCCCTGTATAGCTTTGGAGCCTGTCCTGGAACTAGCTCTTGTAGACCAGGCTAGTCTCGAACTCACAGAGATCCACCTGCTTCTGTCTCCCAAGTGCTGGGATTAAAGGCGTGCACCCCCACCACCAAGCTTGTACTCTCACTTTCTGCATGTATAAATAGTACTCTAGAAGGAGAAAAGTTTTGTTTTTGTGTTCTTAGGATAAAGTGTAGTAGTGGTCACCATTGTGAAACTTGATGTTCAAGCATGTAGGAAAGCAAGCAGCCAGCAAGTAGCCATCTCAAGCCATGTGTTAGTGTCTGGTGTGTGTACTTCTGATGATTGCTACTCTTGATCTGCACATGCTTCTAGCACTAGAGGTCTTCTGTTCATCTCCTTAGCTGATGTTAACTGGGCCTTCTACTGTACCAAAAATCATTCCCAGACCTGAATATTAAGATGACTTTGGTGTGGCGCAGTGCTCTAGGTGCAGTGAACTGACAGTGTAAAAACTAGTGACTATTTACCAGGGAAGGTGCTTACAGAAATGGCAGAAGTTACCAGAGGGGTGTCTTGGTTCTCAAGATTTCATTTTAAGGGGATATTTTAAGTTCAATAAAATAATGAGAAATTAGAGTCAGAATTTTTCAGTATGAATTTTCTTATGCTTACTTCCTAGATGTGTTCTTAAGATGGATCATCACTGTCCATGGTATGTATGAAAAATAGTAGAAATTGCCTAAATCAATAGGGTGAGGGTTGGACATTAGAAGAAGGAAATTGAGAATGATTTTCTTTAGTAATCCCCCTTTTTTTCTACTGGTGCTGGTGTTTAAATCCAGGGTCGCTACACATTCTAAGCGTGTGCTCTCTATAACTAAAACCATATACCCCGCTCCAGTATTCCTAATTTTGAGCTCAGTTAAATTACCGATACACTTACATGCGCAGACACACGCGTAGATATGAATATTTATATTTTTTCTTTTAAAAATATCTGATAAATAATCCAGATGGTCACATGTTAAAAATTAACATTAGAATGTAGCACAAATAATAAAAATCCAGAGACAAATATTGAGGCTAAAGATCAGAGAAGCAGAGCAGCCAGGCACTAGAGAGTTCTCCCTCTACCAAACCTCAGACTGCTCCTGACTGCACTGCTCCTCAGACTGCACTAAGCTCCTTCCTGTCTCCTCCTGCTTTATATTCCTCGCTAATGCTGGGAATAAAGGTGTGGGATCCCAAGTGCTGAGATCACCTTTGTATGAGCTGTTTCTCTTTTAGACTGGATCAATTTCCTGTAGCTCAGGGTGGCCTTGAACTAAGAGATCCAATTGCCTCTGTCTCCCAAGTGCTGGGATTAAAGGTGTGCGCCACCACTGCCTGGCCTCTATGATTAGCTAATGTGGCTAGCTTTGCACCTGATCGTCAGGCATACTTTATTTGTTAGGTCATGAACAAAATATCACCACATTAGAATTGCAAAAAATCTATATAGCATGAATTTAAAACATTAATTAGTTAAGATACTGTTTATTTTCTACTTTTCACTTGACCTATTTCCAAGTAGTGATGATATAAGCTCTCTGTTTCCTTTTTTTCCCCCTTATGACTACAAGGCATACATTGATTTGCCATGTTAATCTTCTCTGTAAGTTCAGTGATATTAGCTATATTCCCATTTTGGTACAAGCACCAGGATTTTCACATCATACAGAGCTGAGCTGTTTCATGAGACACTCCCTACACCCCTCTCCCGCCAGCCCTGAGACATTTCTGTTTCATCATATTTGTGATTTGTCTTATTTTATAATGTTACTTTTTTGTATTCTTCTAGGGTGAATAACTGTGTGGGATTTACTAATTACAAATTCTTCATGCTGTTTTTGTTGTATTCCCTACTTTATTGCCTTTTTGTGGCTGCAACAGTTTTAGAGTATTTTATAAAATTTTGGACGGTAAGTCTTTTTTCTATCTTACACATACATAAAAGATGTTTAAATATGTGTATTTGAAAAGAGTTTCTTTATGCTTTTTATAAGTAGATCTGACTAGCTTCTATAATGGCTCAGACAGAACTACACTTTACCTGTAAGTAAACATCTAGTATGCAGGCTCTAAGTGACTGGTACAGACTGTAGGGAGAGCTGCTTTAGAGAAATCAGTGTCTCCTGCTGCTTGCCTTGATGAGACTTGCTGTGTTTGTACTCAGAGTGACATCCTGGGCCCAGACAAACACTTGCTCTTGCATACACTTTTTTTAGAATTAAAAAAAAAAAAAAAGATTTATTTTTATGAACGTTGCTGTTTTGCCAGGTATGTCTGTGTACCATCCGTGTGCTTGGTTCCTGCAGAAACTAGCAGAGGGCGTCAGACCCCTGGAACTAGAGTTATAGGAGTTTGTGAGCCAACGTGACGTGGATGAGCTGGGAATTGAGTCCTCTGCAAGAGCAGCCAGTGCTCTTAACAGCTGAGCTGCCTCTCCAGCCCCCATCTTCTCAGACTTTAAAAAAAAATGACACATAGTTAAAAATAATCAAGTGTTTTATCAACAAGGGACTAAAGTGTGATTTATCTGAGAGGAAATGGTATGAAACAAGCAGTCTAGTGTGACAAATGACTGGAAAGTGGTCTCTGATGTATTATGTGTAAGAACAAGGCACGTGTCAGTGCATATAGTATGTGGTAGTGTCTAAGGGGAATAACAATCTGCTAGTATGTTCTGGCTTCTCTGGAAATGTTAGAGAGTTGCTGGCCCTGATCCCTGCTGGATGTGGCAGCTGGTAGGGAGACATCCTTCTAGTTCCCTGGGGATGTTGGTAACTATATACAAATGCTCATCTATGTAGAATGCATAATCAAGTTGAAACATTTTTAATGTGGATATATATATATATATATATATATATGTATATATATTTATTTATTTGAGGGGAAAATACCAAAAACATGGAAAGAACTCCATCTAAAAGTGGTGTGGAGAATTGCTGTTTTTCATTATAACATTTTCACAGTGTTTGATATAATTTAGAAATAACTTTAAAATATATTAAAACTACCCTTTCATTCAAATCTTTAAATATCTAGATATTCTTCATCTCTATCTGCCCCCACCCCAGTGTCATCACATCAGCCCCATTAAATGTAGGTTCAGTCTTGACTGTCACACTGCTGAACCCAACACCCAGTTTTCAATTGATAATTATTACTGAGTGGTCAGACGTGATCAAGCCATCAAAAAAACGGGCATATTTCAGATCTGCTTCCTATTCCCTTTCCACTATTTTTTCTCCTGCTTATCTGCTGCACCGGTCCATTGGTTGCCAGGCTAGAGTAGTGATATCATCTCTGAACTCCTGTTTGTCCTCTGATAACTACCTAGATCTAGAATCACGTGGATCCCAAGAAAAGGGCATGGGCTTTGCTTATATATTTACTGTAAATTAAACTACAAGAAGGCAAGAGATTTTATCTTTTTCATCAGTAGAGAATCTAGGATATTACCTGGCCCACAATACAGTAAGTGTTCAGTAAGTGTTTGCTGAATGGTAAAATAACAAAAGTGAAGTCAGCTTAGATTGTGCTTTTGTTTGTGAAATTGGAGCAATACTTACTGTACAAAATAATGTAAATGTGGTACATAAAAAGTACCCAGTAGATGTCTGTTCATGTGTGTGAGAGACAGGGTCTTAACCAGTCTAGTTGAGAACTTGCTGGGTTCATTCATGGCAGTCCCCTTACCTGAGCCTTTTGAGATGTCTTTGGTTTTGTTTTCCTCATTGTATGTCTCAAACCATTCCTTTTGTAACCATGTTTGTCTCCTGATGTCCTGCTTTTACTCTCCCATGTGTAATGCTCGCTGACTTATGAACATGGTACCTGACTTTACTCTGCATGTCTGAGACTGTTTACTAGCCATTGCCTTGTCTTTTTATGAGTGCCCTAGTTTGTTCTGTGTCCACTTTCTCTGATGGGTTTTTGTTTCCATAAGAAAGATACTAAACTTTATTCATAACCTTGGTATTGATGAACCTTTCTTCAATAAAATACGGAAATCACTGGCTATAAAAGCAAAGTTCATAATTTAGGTAGCACTAAAATTGACAGTCTCTTACCAGGAGCCACTGAGCCCCTGTAGTTCAATATTCTGTTTGCTGAGATAGATTTGTCTGTTGGGCCCAGCCTCAGCCACACAGGACACCAAAGTTGTCAAGGTTTTCTGTTTTTTTAAACCAGCTCTTTTTATTCATGTTTCTGTCTGCTGTTTGGTATAAGATTGTACAAATGGCCACCTATTTTATTCTGATACTGTTACTGTTTTCATTTTCACTGTTACTGTGACTTGGAGGAGGAGATACTTGTGATATAAAAATATGTCCATATTTACTCTTTTTAACTCCTGGAAAAAGTGTTTAAAATGTGTGTTTTGTTACTCAGGTCTGGTGAGGCCCCAGAGCTAGAGCCCATTGTGACTGAGAAGATGTTTACTCAGAGACCCCAGAGATAACAGACACAATCTAACCAAGGCTCAGTGAGGGCTAGAGCTGCTGGTATCTAAAACAGGATGAACTGCTTTTAGCCAGATTGAGTAATCTCTGGATTCTGGGATGACTAAACTAGAGTAATCTGCCTCCTGCTGTGGGGTGGCAACAGATGCAGACTTGGAGTTTGGACTCTGGATTGGTTAGCATATGAAAGTTGCCCTCCTAGTGGTGAGTGCTTTTCAAAGTACTGGTGAAAGTCAGTGAAGCCCCAAGATCCCAGTGTGTCTACACCCGAAGATAAGGAACTGTGGTTTTTTACAGTGGTTGTGTGACTGTGGTTATCAGAATGAGAAGTGAGGTTGGAGAAGTTAGGTAGCTAGCTACCCAAGGTCATATATTTCATAGTATAGAAAACTAGAATTTAAAGTCAGATCTGTCTATCCCATGGTCCAGATACTTTCCAAGGTCACTTACTTGTCAATTTAAAAGCCATGTACAGTGAGTGCCAAGTCATGGAGCACAGTTATTTCTCAGAAATAACTGTGTTTTATGTATTTTAGAGAGATTTTTACTAAAGCATTGTAATTTGGGGGTCTGGAGAGATGTTGGCTCATTAGTTTAGAACACTTGTTGCTCTTGCAGAGGACTCGGGTTCAGTTTCCAATATCTACATTCTGGTTCATAACCATTTATAGTCATGTGTACAGTGTACATATATATGTGCACACAAAAACCCACTTGTGTAAAGTAAAATCCTTAAAAATGTATGATTTTTAAACTTTCTGCATGCGAAGCAGAGGCAAGTGATCTCTATGGGTTCAAAGCCAGCCTAGCTGGTCTACAGTGTAAATTCCAGGACAGATGGAGCTACATAGTGAGACCCAATCTCAGAAAACAAACAGAAAATTAAAGTTTCTGCTCAGTGATAATGTGATCTAAGGGTCTTGGTTCCTCAGCAGCATCAGGGAGATGCAGCCCAGCACTGGCCACTGTCCTGAGAAGGTGCCTACTTACAGACTTCCACAGAAATCAGCTAGTACAAGTCAGAGTTACCGAGTTTGAGTGGAGGCAAGATAGAGTACATGCTTCAGAGCAATATTTCTCAACCTCTGGGTCATGACCCTTTTCACAGGGGTCACATATCAGATAGTTATATGCAGTTGATAACAATAGCAAAAGTACAGTTATGAAGTAGTAGCAAAAATAATTTTATGGTCATCACAACAAGGAACTGTATTAAACTGTGTTAGGAAGGTTGAGAACCACTGAACAGAGTTATGTGCTGGTGTTGAGAGGAAGATGTGCAGGGAAAGGGCAGTGCACTCAAGGCATGTGTGAGTCGGTTAGATACTGTGGTAAGTTACATTGTTTGAAAGACATAAAGATGTTTGAAAGATTTAAAGATGAAGCAAGGTTGCCAGGTATAGTGGTGCACACTTGGGAAGCAGAGACAGGTGGATCTCTGAATTTGAGGCCAACCTGGTCTACAAAGAAAGTTCAAGAACAACCAGGGCTACACAAACAAACAAATAAAACAGATGAAACAAAGTAGGTAGAGTTTAATTATTTTAAAGAATTTGCTTTTGTGAGTTTGAGGCCAGCCTGGTCTTAGCAAGTTCTAGCTGGGTCTACACAGTAAGACACTATCTCTAAAACCAAACTGAAAATTTAAAGTGGTTTTTGAGATGTATATTTTTAGACTTAGGGCTGACAGGAGAGTGCTAACACATTTAAATTCAAGGTCACAGACATTGTGTCCTAAATATATGTGGTTTTAAACATCTTTGAGATGTCTGTAGACATCTTTAGAAAGACAGGTGTCTATAGGCAGTGCTGGCTTTATTAGTCCTGTTAAGTTTCTGCATCCTCAGTAGGTAGTGGGCCAGGGTGAAGGAGCTGATTGACCTTCACGTATCTGGAATAATTGGGTAGGTTGCATATTAAAGTGAGTGGACAAGATGGGCCTCATTATGAATGGAAAATCTGAACCAAGACAGATGAATTGATAGGTGTCTGAGGTAAGAACATTTAAGCCAGGGGAATCTGTTGAGCTATACCAAGGGAACTTTTTCTCTGTGTATCCCTAGCTGTTCTGGAACTCTGTAAGCCAGGCTGGCCTCAAACTCAGAAATCCACCTGTCTGCCTCACTGAGATTAAAGGTGTGCACCATCATCACCCAGCTCTAAGGGAACTTTTTATGGCTAGATTAGACTGAGGACAGATACTTAGGGGAAGCCCAGGATCCTGCTAGGGCTAAGTGACAAAGGGACTTTAGCAATCTTTAATGTTAGAAAGTGTCTGTCTGTCTGTCTGTCTGTCTGTCTGTCTGTCTGAAGTAAAATGGGAACAAAAGAGTGACATGATGTGACCTGTAAAAGGTTCTGATTGCTGAGCTGCAACCCAGTGGGCAGTCAGCACAGCTGCCATACCAGAGGCTGCCATTGTTTGCCCAGCAGAAACAGGCAGTAGCAGGGAGGTGCTGAGTCATCAAGTCTCATTCCTGGAACTATTATCCAACCAGGAGGTTAAAGAGTTACAGATGTTCATGCTAAAACATCTTGTTTTGTTCTTTTAGAAACAAGTTCCTTATGTAGTTTTGGATGGGACTGTGCATGTTTAGAGGGCCTCTGAGATGTGATTGAAGAAATAAATGGTTTTACCTGTTTGTGGGGGAGGATTTACTTTTTTGAAAAATATAGATGATTAGAGGGCAACTTCTTGTATTCCTTTCAAATGATGCCCATAACTGATAAAGCCTAGTTTTCAGGATAACTTTGTATAAAAGTTGTTTTCTTAATGCATTGTCTCTGTTTGCACAAGCTTTGCCGCAGGAAATCTACAGAGAATTGCCCGAAGGTAAAACACACCATTGCCATGACATTCTCATAATCTCTTTATAGAGTGAATGCTTATAATTAAAGTTTGCTTTACAAGTTGGCAAGATAAAATAGGCACTGTATTTTAAAAGTATAGTGGTTACTCTGAGGAAAAAAAAATAAATATCAGAATAGTGCAGGGCTCAAGAAAAAAGATACCTCAATAGAGGGAGCCAGTATAGAGAAATCTGGCACCAGGGAAATGTCCAGAGATCCACAAAGATGACCCCAACTATAAACCTAGGCAGTAGTGGAGAGGCTGCCTTTGATGCCCTTCCCCTATAATGAGAATGATGACTACCTTAAATGCCATCGTAGAGCCTTCATCCAGTAGCTGAAGGAAGCAGAAGCAGACACCTAAAGCTAAGCACTGAGCCACACTCCTGGAATCCAGTTGTAGAGAGGGAAGAGGGATGAGCAAAGGAGTCAAGACTACACTGGAGAAACCCACAGAAATAGCTGATCTGACCTAGTGAGAGCACAGGGACCCCAGTCTTAAAGCTGGGGGACCAGCATTGGACAGAACCAAGCTCTCTGAATGTGGGTACCAGTTAGGAACCAGTATTTATCCCTAGTGCACAAATGGCCTTTGGGAGCCCATTCCCTCTGGAGGGTTACCATTTCAGGCCAGATACATGGAGAAGGGCCTAGGTCCTCCCCCAAATGATGTGACAGACTTTGATGATCCCCTATGGAAAGCTTCACCATCCTTGGGGAGGATGGGAGGGAAAGGGAAGTGGGGGATTGATATGTAAAATAAGATTGCTTCTAAAAAAGAAAGAATGGTGCAGGGCTGGTGGGGAAATGTGCAGAAGTAAAGATTGTGAGTTCCTAGTTTCAGTAGCAGTCTTTCAGTTGTCTGTCTAAGCCTGTGTGTAGTGTGGGGGATTGTATGTGCGCTTGTGAGTTTGGGTGTTCACAAATGTAGGCGACCATAGCACAGTGTTGGATATCTTCCTCTGCCATCTCACTTGCTAGCAAGCATTCCTGCTCTGCCTGTCTCCACACTACAGGGAAGCGCAGCCCTTCTCACTGTGTATATGACTGCTGGAGATTTCTGAGCTGTCTTCTAAACCCTGTCACATATTTTTGTTTTAAATTTTAAAAATGTAAATTATGCTTGTATGTCTGAAGCACGTGTACACATGCATGAGGGCACACATGTGGAGGTGAGAGGTTAATTTTGGAAGTTTGTTCTCTTACCATGGGTTCTAGGGACTGGACTCAGGTTGTTGGGTGTGGGCAACAAGCACTTTTCCCCCCTCTGAGCCATCGTGCTTGGCCCTTTGGTTAGAAACTGCGTGTGTGCATGTGTGCCTGTGCTCTCATGTGTTTGCACAGAGACCAGAGCTGGAGTTGTAAGTAGTGTGAGCCACCTCAGGTGGTGTTCTTAAACAAGGAGCCATCTCTCCAGTCCATTGAGTGCGGTTCCCCCACCCCCTTTGAGACAGGGTCTTTCTGTGTAATCCTGGCTATCCTGGAACTTGCTGTGAAGACCTAGCTTCCTCAAACTCATATCATCCTGCCTCTGCCTCCCAAGTGCTGGGACTAAAGTTGTATGCCACCATGCCCAGCCTATTAAACATTTTTTAAATTAGAGTAGCCTCTTCTGAAAAAACTAGGAGATTTACCTATATAGTTTTTGAGACAGTCTCATGTGTCCCAAGATGACCTTCAACATACTAATTGAAGATGACCTTGAACTTCTGATTCTCCTGTCTGCATTTCTTGAATCCTAAAGTTAAGGCATGTACTACCATGCTCAGTTATTTGTTATGTTAGTAACTGAACCTAGGACATCATGCATACCAGGCAAGCATTTTTCTGACTGAACTACATTTCCATACCTTTCAGGGTTTTGTTTTTAAGAGCAATATTTAAAGGCTTATTTCTGTAAGAAGGAATGGCAGAAACTGTTCATTCTTTAATACCTTATGGCAACTTTTTTCAAATGGCAATTACCTACAAAGACTCCAAGAAAGAAACAAGGATGAGGAGGTGGGTATCAGAGCAACTAAGGACGTGGACAACTTGGAGAAGACATGCACAGAAGTAAAAGTGAAATATAGCACATTCCACTTCTTTTTAGAACGTATGTAACTAAGCAGCTGTTTTTATACAAATGGAAGTAACCTTGTTCCTCTGGATGTTGAGCAAAATCTGAATATATACATAAGGTGTGAAAGAAAATTGGCTAGGGGAAACAGTCCATCTTTTCATTTTATGGTGGAATTGTTAGATGTTTAAGGAAAACTTTAAAAAATGCTTGTATTATATCATTCTCTTATGTGTATGGGTGTGTGTGTGCCTGTATTTATATCTGTGCCCCACATGCATGCCTGGTGCCCACAGTCAGAAAGAGGGTGTTGGACAGACAAATTTAAATGACTTGGGACTGTTTATAGGTTCATCTTGCTGAGTTTGTGCTTTCAGAATACATAGTCTCATTTATTTTATTACTCTTCATATATGACTTCTTTTTTTGTGGATTCCATCTTTAAGAAGAATCAGATTACAAGTTGCATTGTAGAGGTTCAATATCCTCACAATTAATCCCTTTTTTTTCTTTCCCCAGAATGAATTGAGAGAATCACGTGCAAAATTCCACGTACTTTTCCTTTTCTTTGTGTCTGCAATGTTCTTCGTCAGTGTACTCTCATTATTTAGCTACCATTGCTGGCTAGTTGGAAAAAACAGAACAACAATAGGTAAATAAACTAACTATAAGTCTTTTTAAAAAAAAATGACCACAAATGAATGTGGTCTTTTGTAGGCAATAAAGAAATGAAAAGTAATTATGTGTTTAAATTTCACAGTTTTGGGTACAGTGGGTATATAAGAGACCTAGACTCGTATCGAAGATGATCGCATAAGTGACTATGTGTATATATATATATATATATATATATATATATATATATATATATGTAATGATTTCAGTAATGTATTATATAGCAAAATCTATAGTTTATAATTTTAAAAGCCATTACCTGTGTTTATACAGTATCTTTTGAAAACTAATCTCTGAATGATATTTTCATGCTTAAAGGTGATGCTCAGGCCCAAACCATTTTAAATCCATAGTTTACCTTCTTGTTAAGGCAGAGCATCCTTCCTGTATTCTTGACAGCCCCACCCAAGCACAATTTGATGGGCGTATGTTCTAAGGGTTAGTGCTTATGACATGTCTTTTTATTTCCATTTTTGTGTCATTTGTCAGTGAATTTCAATGGCTGGAAGGATGACTTGATAGGTAAGGGCACTTGCTACCAAGCCTGACAGTCTGAGCTCAGTCTCCTGAACCCACATGGTAGAAGAGAAAAGCAATTCCCATAAATTGCCCTCTGACCTCACATATGTTCACAGTGTGGATATATAGACACTGAATAAGAAGATAAATGCAAAAACAAAACAACAGCAACAAAAAAAAAAAACAAAGCAAATATAGAGTAATAACTGAGTAAGGTGTGCAGTTAATTGTTTCTACTCTTTACTTGTTTGCTTTTTTGGGTGACCCACCACCCAGCTCTCAAATAAATCACACATAGAGACTTTTTCTTCCTTATGAATGCCTGTTTCTAGTTAGCTTTTTAAAAAGCTAGCCCATCTATCTTTTGCCTCTGGGCTTTTACCTTTTTCTATTTCTATATACCTTTATTTCTTATTCCATGGCTGGCCCCTGATGTCTTCGTCTCCTTTTCTTGCTCCTTTATCTTTTCCTCCCAGAGCTCTTCTCTTTATTCTCACTGCCTACCAGCCCTGCGTATCCTTTCTCCTGCCTTCCTTCTATCAGCCATTGAGCTCTTTATTAGACTATTAGAGGTGTTTTGGACAGGCATAGTAGCACAGCTTCACAGAGTTAAATGCAACATAAAAGAATGCAATATTATCTTTGCATCATTAAATAAGTGTTCCACAGCATAAACAGATGTAACATACCTTAAAATAATATTCCACAGCAAAGGTGTTGAAGAATAGTATGACTGGTATTATGGTATATGCCCTTTATCTCAGCACCCAGGAGGCTAAGGCAGGGTCACTAGTGTGAGGCCATCTGAGGGGTGGGTGCCTAACAAGGCACTCTGGAGGCCCTGCTCTCCCTGAACTGCTGTCAGCTGTCATGCCAGCCTCACAACCTTGTTAACTAATACTTACATGGTAGTTTAAAGTCCACCTGCCCGCCAATGCCTGTGTGTTTGCCAGAATTGGAAGGAAAAATTTTAATATAGAGAAATTAAGAGATTTGAGGGCATATTTTAGTTAACTGTGTTTAAATTTTATGGTCTTGTTTATTATTGGGTTGTTTGAATTATGTAGCTTCCGGTATAAGCGTTTCTGTCTTCTTGCCCAGCTCACCTGCCACTGTTAAGCATCACAGGTCCATTATGCTTTACTTTTTCCATATAAATAAAATTCTTCATGTCTGTAAAGTAATTTGTTCTCATTACAGAATGCTCTTACCCTAGAATTGACAACAACTTGATCTGCTTGCAAAGCCCTACGTTAAAGACCTCTTACAAAAAACAGATTTTAGAAAGAAAGCTAGAATTCACAACCATCTGTAACTGCAGTTTTGGGAGGCCAATGCCTTCTCTAATTTCTGAGCCCAGGCACACATGTGGTGTACATACATTCATTCAGGCAAAACACCAATGATAAAATTAACGAATTCATTTCAAATTGATAACTGGTAGTGGTAGGTCCATTTTTCCAACTGTTACTGACCACACTGACCACCTAGGGCTAAGGAGAGCAGCCAGTTGTGGTAGATGGGATGCAAACACTTTAATCTGTTTCTCACATAGCTTGTTTCTACTTCGTGTGTAAGAGAGCAGAGTACCTCAGCTGGATCAGCTTAAAGGAAGCAGAAGCAGGATTTTCGAGGTTCATCTCCTGTCCGTGTGCTGTGGGGGTCCACGTGCAGTGGTAGGGAGCTTGTGGTGCAGGAAAGCTGCTGACCCAGTGGAAGCCATGAAGGAAAGGGGCGAGGGAGCAGACCGCTTAGGGTCTTTAAGAACATTACCCTTCCCTTCATGACCTTCCTCTACCACCTTCAGGTCCTGCCATCAGCTAGTGTCTAGCCCTGTGCACAGTTAAGATCCAGACCATAGGCCATGTTTCTAGGCACCCTGCTGTTGTCCGAAAATAATTTTTCTACATTAGTTTTTACCAGTGAAACCATTTTATATCATGATTTTTCATGTGTACATACACTTACAAAATTACATAAATAAGCAGAATTTCGGAGTACCATTAATTCCAATCGCGTGTAACGCAGTCTGATATTTTGCACAGTCTAGTTCAGCCAGTTGGATGATCCTGTGGCCATGCTTTGAAAAACGCATTGCATTGCCTTTGTGTACATACCACTTCCTTTACTGCCTCAGCCTCAGCCTCCACACCCTGGCCTCCGGCGAGTCCTCCACTGCTCCTGCCAGCTTGCTCTTTACTGTGAAGGTGTTTTATTCTGCTGTCCCACCTTTGCTCATCTTTCTAACTAACCCCCCCCCCCCCCCAGATCTCACTGAGTTCCAGTGTCCCTGCTAAAGCCATTGTCCTAAGTGGGGACATTTGTCCATGTCCTAATCACACCTGGAGCCTTTAATCACATGAAACTGGAAAGCCTCTAAAGATGAAATTTTAATGTCTTCTTCATTTCTCCCTGTCTGTGACAGGGTCTTATATAACACAGGCTGGTCCCAGATTCTAGCACTCAGCAGACTCTGCTAGATCTCTGTGAGTTCAAGGCTTGACTGTCTACATACTGTGTTCTAGGCCAGCTAGGGCTACATAGGGAGGCTGGGTGGGGGGAGGCAGAATTTTCTCCCTACCACTGTTGAATTCTGGGTTGTAAACTTGAGTGTTCAGCCATCTTCCCCAGTCCTTCCATCTCCCTTTCTATACTCCACTGCACTTCTGACTTAGAGTCCTCTATTACCCAACAGTGTTGTAGAGTATTATTTTAAGGTCTGTTACTTTTGTTTATGCTCTGGAACATTTGTTCCAGATGATACAAAGATGTGTTTCATTAAATAAAATTTAGCTGCAGTCAGGAAGTTTTGTCAACAACTAACTGACAGGAAGTGGTAGGGAAGAGGCAAGTGGAGAAGGTTTTTTTTTTTTTCCCCCGAGACAGGGTTTCTCTGTATTGCTTGGGATCCTGTCCTGGAACTTGCTCTGAGGACCAGGTTGGCCTGGAACTTACAGAGATCTACCTGCCTCTGCCTCCTGAGTGCCGGGATTAAAGGCATGTGCCACCAACAGTTTTAAAGGAAGGATGAGGAGACACACAGGGCTTCTGTGGGAACACAAGGAGAGGTGAGCTTCTTGCTACTCAGCCTCTTTGAGGAGCAGAATCCCAGGTCAACCATTGAATCCTGAGTTCTTAGCAGGACAAAGATTCCATTGTGGCTTTGAAAGAGTCGGTTGCCAAGGGAACAGAATTCCCTTAGGCTGCTACTCTTGTAGCCTAACCACTGCTGATAGCTACTGAGTTTTGGTTGCTGATTTGGATAGCTGTGGCTTTAAAAACAGCAGTAATTAGAAAGAGCACTACAATTGGCATCCAGCGTGGGGTGCCAGAATGTTGTGTGATATTTTTGCTCTTTGCTTTTTAGGCTTTTTGGTCTTTTTACTTTTGGGGGTGTATACCATCCAGCTCCCAAATAAATCACACATAGTGGCTTATTCTTAGTTATGAATGCCCAGCCTTAGCTTGGTTTGTTTCTTGCCAGCTTTTCTTAAATTATCCCATCTATCTTGGGCTTTCCTCTTTCTCTATTCTTCTATACCTTTTCTTTCCTTCTTAGTCTGTGTCTGGCTGTGTAACTGAGTAGCTGGCCCTGAAGTCCTCCTTCCTGTCTCATTCCCAGATCTTCATCCTCCCAGATTTCTCCTCATAGTTCTGCTTTCCAGCCCTGCTTTTTCTTCTCACTATTGGCCATTCAGCTCTGTCTTTGACCATCAGGTGTTTTAGACAGGCACAGTAACACAGCTTAACAGAATTAAACAAGTGGCAGCATAAACAAAAGTAACAACCTTAAAATAATATTCCCTAACACAACAGTCTCCTCACCGTGTTGTTCTAGTCCATCCTAGATCTGTCAACCAGTGGCTCCATCTCCTTCTTTGTAGTTTGTAGTGCTCTCACCTCTCTGCTCCTAGGCTTCTTCCCAGGGGCCTTCACTAACCCTTGGGCTGGAGTTCAGCTATCCACTCAGTGCAGTCTACTGACATCTGGAGGGAATCACAACTCCCATAGAGTGTCACACTTCCGATTGATGTGGCATACACCGTTAGTCCTAGTACTAAGGCAGAGGCAGTGGATCTCTGTGAGTTTACCACCAGGCTCATCTACACAGTGAGTTCAAGTCTAGCACAAGACTATGTCAGAAACAAAAGGATAAGACAGTCCCATACCTCACTAAGGGTGGAAATGGTGGTGGTTAGGTCAGTCAACCTCCTTAACTGCTTTCCTTATTAAGGTGGATCTTTTTGGGGTGGGGGAGAGGATTTTTTTTTTTTTTTTTTTAAAGACAGCCAGATTAGTTTGTAGCCCCTGGCTGTTCTGGAACTCAATTTGTAGATCAGGCTGGCCTTACCTAGGCATGATTGTGGTCATTCTGTCCTTCTGATTTCTCAGTCTTTTTGGGGAAAAAACTTAGAAGCCACAAGCAAGCTCCCATCTTCTCACCTTTCTAGCCTTCTATACACATCTCCTCCCACCTCTCAGTGTTGGCCTTCCTCCAGCATCTGAGGAAGGATGTAATTTTGCTCTTCAGGATTTACCTTAGAACTCTTGTTGAGATTCTCTTTTGCTCTAGGTTGCCTTAGTTTTTATTTGCTTTCTCATGCCGTCAGTTGTGGTGATGTTTTATTTATGATCTAACAAATAAAGCTTGCCTGAAGATCAGAGTGCAAAGTTAACCACACTAGTTAGCCATAGAGGCCAGGCAGTGGTGGTATACATCTTAAATCCCATCACTAGAGAGAATATTAGGCATGAGAAGACAGGAGCTCATTTGCAGTCTGAGTGAATCTGAGCATTGCAGTTGTAGGAGTCTGCAGTTTGGTAGAGAGTAGGGCAGTCTGAGGTTCAGTGGATCGCCCCCATCAGTCTGAGTATTAGTAGAGCTGAGAACTCTCTAGTGGCTGGCCACATTGCTTCTCTGATCTTCAGCTTCTGTCGGACTCTGAGTTTTTATTATTAATAACAATTAGAATTTGTGCTACACTCAGTCTAGCCCATCACCTTCCTGCTTGTAAGATGCTGAAGGGCTTTGTTTTTAAAAACAAAGATGTACAGCTCTTCTTGTAATACCTGTCTTTGTCTGGCCCTCACTCTGTATCATTTTACACTGCATCTTGAAGCTGTGGTCTGCAATTGCTCTCTGCCGCCTTATTATTCAAGCATGTTGAATGCACTCCTGCCACCTTCACCCACCCTACCCTCACCACTCCCTCCAGACACACAAGCTGTCCTTACTTCTGTGCTCACAGGACTTCACACATGTAGGTTTTGGTAGACGAAATTCTACCTAAGTTTTTGTTTGGGTCCCAGTACCTGTGTTGTTAGGAATATATAGGAAGCTCATCAATAAAGAGTGAACAAGCTCTAGTACCTTAAAAATAAATTGAAATACAATAAAGCAAATGGAGTAGAATATTTTTATTAAAGGCTGGGGACTTAGCTCAGTGGGAGAACGCTTGATAGCATGCACAGCGGTTCAATTTCAATTTCTAGTACCACAAAAATGAGCTAAATCAAAAGTATAATGTTCCCCCCCCAAATTTTTTTTTCCCAAAAAGCAGCATATGGCTGGGCATGGCAGCCCACACCTTTAATATCAGTGCCTAGGGAGACAGAGGCAGGTGTATCTCTGTGAGTTCAAGACCAGAGTGGTCTGTATAATGAGTTCGAGGACAGCCAGAGATACACTGAAAAACACTGCCTTAAAATAAATAAATAAAAGTAATGTTAGATATTTATTTGTACCTATCTTTTTAGAGGAATGAAATAAAAATATACTTTCTCCAAATAAGTCAGAAATTTTGTCTTTTTTAAAGAGTTTAGTTGACATAATGATTGTGTCTATTCTGGGGACACTTCAAATCATGCCTATAATAGTCAAATCAGAACAATTGGGACATCTGTCACTTCAGGTGATTGTCACTCCTTGTTACCTTTTGTTAGAATTCCCTTTATAGTTTTTAATAGATTTATTCATGTGTGTATGTACATTCATGTGTTTGTTTCCTTTTTTAAACAGAGTCTTTCCGTGCACCTATGTTTTCTTATGGAATAGATGGAAATGGTTTTTCCCTTGGATGTAGTAAAAATTGGAGACAAGTCTTTGGTGATGAAAAGAAATACTGGCTAGTTCCGGTATTTTCAAGGTAAGTTACAGAATTAACTTAACAGAGGCTCAGTGGTAGCCTCTGTTTCTGGCTGAATAGCTTAAGACTCAGTAGCCATGCAGTAAGAGTATACACATTTGAATGGGAAGTAGAAAATAAAAAATTGACTCAAAGAGCTCTTCAAAATGAAAATAAATCACTTTTAGGAACATAAGAGTGTTTTCATAGATTATGACACAGAAGTGTTGTGTGTGTGCCCCCTCTTCTCTCTCCCTCTTTTCTTCTTCTAAAGACAAGAGTCGCACTCTGTAGCCCTGGCTGGCATAGAACTTACTGTGCAGATCAGGCTGGCCTTGAACTGGAAGAGATCCACCTCTCTCTTCTCCAGAGGGCTGGTACTAAAGTTGTGTGCCACCACATCAGTTTACCAGTATTTTCTTAAAGAAGAAGTTTTACCTCAGGTGATTCACATGCTAGGTGATTCACAAATTCACCCTAACTCAGCTAGTCTGGACAATCTGTATGTCAGTCACTACAGAGAAGGAAAACAGTTTGGAAGTCTATCCTCAGGTTTGTATGGTCTGTAGGTATGCTGGGTGGAAGCTCACACAGGATTTAGAGAGCTGAGGTAAGAGGATCATTGTGAGTTTGAAGCTAGTTTGGGTGACATGGTCATATATAGTCAGCCCCTGTCTCAAAGGGTTAGGGTAACTGTAGGGTCTTTCCCTTAATTCAATTGCCATCTTCTGTTCAAAATGGCTTGCTTTCCTTCATTTTTATTTTATTTTTTATTTATTCATTTACTTATTTTTTTGGTTTTTTGTTTTGTTTTTTCGAGATCTGTGTAACAGTCCTAGCTGTCCTGGAACTCACTTTGTAGACCAGGCTGACCTCAAACTCACAGAGATCGTTTGCCTCTGCCTCCCAAGTGCTGTGATTCAAGGCACCATCACCACCCAGCCTATTTTTATCTTTTATTTATTTACTTTGCCTTCACTGCCTCCTAGCTTGCCTTATTTTCTGCTGACAAGAGTATAGTCACCTTGTTTTTTTGACTCCAGATGTCTTCTCTGGATAATTTTTTAAGAGTGTTAATCATTCCTTTCACAAAATTTTATTGTGATAACATTTAGTGTGGTTTTTATCAGGTTTCTTTTGTTTAGGATTAGTTGAAGTTGGCGTTTTTTTATTGTTGGTTTTTCTTTTGTTTTGTGTTTTGTTTCTTGAGGCAAGTCTCATAGCCCAAACTAGAATTGAACTCCTGAACTTGTGTCTCACAGGTGTTGGAATTACAGATGTGCACCAGCACACCCAGCTAGCTGATCTGTCTTTGTCTTCCCATCAGTGGGGGAACTGCTAAGCATTGTCTCTTCTGTGTCCTCCCCTGTGGGGACTTCTCCTATGCCTGCATGAGGTGCTTGCTTCCCATAGCTCTGTGATAGTTTATTGTTGTTTCTGTGTGTTTCATGTCCTGTAAACCCTGATGCTGTCTGTATATATATTCAATATCATTTTTTGGGGGGAGTAGTTTGTAGTCTCTTGTTTTTAGTGAAGAGTTTTCCACTGTTGAATGAAATGCACACTATCTGATATAAGATTATTTTCTCTGATCAGAGAACTCATGACACTGTTGTGAAATAGCACGCGCACACACACACACACACACACCAGGAGCTAGTTCACATGGTGTCTGAAGAGGTCAGAAAAGGGTGTCAGCTCCTCTAGAACTTGCATTAACATATAATGTGGGCTACCATGTGGGTGCTGGAAAGGAGGAAAAAGTACTCTTTAACTACTGAGCCATCTCTTCTCTGGTTTGTGTATTTTGTTTTGTTAAAGGAGTGTCTGTCATCGCTCTTACTCCATTCTTGGTGAATTATGGATTCAGTGACACTCACTCCCGACTTTTAATTTTACAATTTCTATGTATACACACTCATGAGTCCAAGTACCTGCAAAAACTAGCAAAGGTGCATCTGTTCTCCTGGAGCTGTCGTTACAGGGCTTGTGATCTGCCTTGTGGGTGCTATGAACCAAACTCCAGTGCTCTCAATTGCCAAGCCACACTCTGCAGCCCATTATTCAAGTCTTATAACTGATATTGAGCAGGTCAGCCTTTCTGACTTCTCTCTCACCTAGTACTTACCTGGCTTCTTGGATTTGTGAGTGTGCTGTTCTCATCTGAGTATCTTTAGTTATTTTGTTTCAGCTTATTTATTAGCTTTTGTTGGTTTGGGAACTCTTGCCCATTCCCCTTCCTCCACCTCTCCCCACTAGCATCTCTGACTCCATTTTTATGTTTTAGCATTTAACACTGGTTGTTCTGTGTGTTACCCCATCCATTTTTTCAGCTTTTCCTTTTTTGCTTAATTGCTACAAGTGTATCCCTTTTATGGTGTCTTGTCTGCTGGTAAGTTCCATCTAGGGGTTTAATTTGAGAAGATGTCTCTCTTACCTCTAGAAGTTAGATTTGGCTCTTTCTAGAAAGCTTTACTCTTCTATTTTATTATATCCATTTGTCTTTTCAAATTCATGGATGTCTATTATATAACTGCAGTTTTGAAGTTGCTAATTTTCACTTTGTTTTCTGTTGATTGTTACGTTCTTAGTTCTGATCATATTGTCTGTTACTTTCCATGTAACTTCTGATTAAACATGGTTGTTTTTAATGCTGGATAGCTCAGTCTCTAGATTTTATTTTCTCTTTATAGCTGGTGCTTGGTTTTGGTAGGCTTCACAATCTTTTTGTTTTAAGTCTTATAAAGTTGAATGAGAGTCTTATTTTCTTTAAAGCTAAGGCTAGTACTACAAAAGGTGGAGTCTCAATTGAGAGAGGTTTCCTGTTGGCCGGTCAGATATGAATGCTTGCTGGGCAGTGGTGGCACACACCTTTAATCCCAGTGCTTGGGAGGCAGAGGCAGGTGGATCTCTGAGTTCAAGGCCAGCCTGGTCTACAAAGCTAGTTTCAGGACAGACAGAGCTGTTTCACAGAGAAACCCTATCTCGAAAAGCAAACAACCAAAAAAAACAAATTCTCTCCAGTGTTGCAGGGCTTGGAATTTTTCACTGCAGGGTTTCTAGCTGGTTTTTCTGTTTGTCTGTGCAGGATAGTGTCTGTCAGAAGATGTGTCTGTACATAGTATTTTTTCTTTTCTTTTTCATATGTGGTGTGTGTGTGTGTGTGTGTGGGTGTGTGTTTCAAGACAGGGTTTCTCTGTATGACAGCCCTAGCTGTCTCTGTCTTTCTGACTCTGTCTTCCCACCTCTACCCCACCCCCACCCCAGTGCTGGGATTACAGGCATGTGCTACCACCACTGCCTGGCTCAGCCTGTGTATATTTCGATAGACATTTCTCCTCTGTCTTTTAGGTTCAAGACATCTCAGCTTCTCAAAGCTTTCTCCTTCTCTGTTGCCTTGATTCAGTGAGACTGCTTTGTTTACATTCCCCTCATCCATAGGCTCTAGCAGATGTCTAGGGCTTGTTATACTTTAAAAAAGAGTTTTTCTAAATTTATATGTTTGAGAGGATGAGAGGTTTTTTTTTTTGTTTGTTTTTCGACATAGGGTTTCTCTATTGTTTTGGAGCCTGTCCTGGAACTAGCTCTATAGACCAGGCTGGCCTCGAACTCAGAAGAGATTCACCTGCCTCTGCCTCCTGAGTGCTGGTATTAAAGGTGTGCGCCACCCACGCCTGGCTTTTTTTTTTTTTTAAGAGTTTTGCCTGCATGCATATATGTGCACTACGTGTTTACCTGGTACTAGAATAGGTCACAAGTGGGTTTCAAATCCCCTGAAACTGGAATTACATGTGGTTGTGAGCTATCATGTGGGTGCTAGGAAAGAAGCTTGGATCCTCCTCAAGAGCAACAAGTCTTAGCTGCCCAGCCAACTCTCCAGCCCCTTGTTAATTTTTTTTTTTTTTTGTGGGAGTATTACACTGTCCTATACTACCTGTTGTGAAGTCAGTCATCTGTGTGTTGGTCTGTTTCTGATTGTTTATGGTAACAGGTCAAATGTACAGGCACTCTGTCTTGAGCAGAGGAGATTGCCTGTGCTGTGGACAGTTCTGATGGATCAGGAGCATGAGGACAACAGGTAGAGCTTGTCTTTGTGTTCACTAGTATACCTTACTTCTTACCAAGGAGTTGGGGAGCTCTTTGGTGGCCTGATTGGTTTTGCAGTAGCTGAGAACCAGGCCATTTGAGGGCCTTCTGTGAGGAGCTGCCTGTAACTGAGCTCAGCACTGAGCTGCTTTGGAGGCTCAGCTGTTCTCACAGTGGTGTTCCATGAGTACATGGAACTTACATTGTGGTTTCAGTTTGAGTATGGATGATGTATTCAGGGATCGTGATGGTGTCAGGTACCCAGATAATGGAATAGCTGTCTGCATTCAGGGTTAACAGGGCATAGTGATCTTAATCAGCATAGAAGACATTGTTTCTAAGTACATGTAAGTTACAAGAGAAAAGGCTGTTTTCAGTGGAGGCAATAACTTCCAAAATTAGGCTTGATATCTGACTTGATAAGTTGTAGTAATTTAGTTCTACTCTACCTCTATAAAATGAATGTTAGGGCTGGTGAGGTGATTCAGAGGTTAAGAGCTGCTCTTCCAGAGGTTCTGAGTTCAATACCCAACACTCACATGTTGACTCACAACCATCTATAATGAGATCTGGTGTCCTCTTCTGATGTGCAGGCATACATGCAGGAGGAGCACTCTATACATAATAAATAAATACATCTTTAAAAAAAGAATGTTAAAGTTAACTGTTATTAAATTAGTACTGAGATAATTGTTGTTTCTCATCATACAGCTTGGGTGATGGCTGCAGTTTTCCGACTCGCCTTGTGGGGATGGATCCAGAGCAAGCTTCTGTTGCAAACCAGAGTGACTATGCCAGAAGGTGTGTTTCTTGTTACTCAGTGTTTCAATATTTACTGTAAAACCCTGTTCTACATGAGTGACTCATGCACAAAGAGCAGACTCCAGGAAACAGACACAAAAAGAAAACCTATATTTACATTCTTTTCAATGAAGGACTGATGTGTTAGGTGCCTAATCTTACACACTTTTTACATAAAAAGCAGAGCACGGAGAATACAGAGCATGTCAGTAGTTAGATCAGGGCAGACTTAAGCAGCTTCATGCCTGGGGAAACATGAAAATCCCCTTTTGGGACATCAGTATATTCCAAGTGGTGTTTTTCAAAGAAAATTTAAAAGCCACTGCCATTATTCTAATAATTATTAATTTTAATAACGGCTTTAATTACAATGTCAGATTAATCAATGAGAATTCAAAAGTACAAATATTTTCTTATTCATGTTAAAGGAAATTTCTTAACATAGTTGTACACCAAGAAAACTGATTCACAAATTCATATTTCTGTCAACACACACAAAAAAAAATGAAAGGTAGTCAGGCATGGTGGTGCACACCCTTAACTCCCAACAGTCGGGAGGCAGTGGCAGGCAGATGTCTGTGAGTTTGAGTCCAGTCTGTTCTACAAAGTGAGTTTCAGGGCAGCCAGAGCTACACAGAGAAACCCTGTCTTGGGGAAAAAAATAGAATAAGGAAGTTGAGGAGGACTTTAATCTCCAAACTAGCATGTTGATGTCAGCAGGCAGGCCTCAACACTGCACCAAAGCCTCCACCCTTCAGTCCTAGCATTTACTGTGGTTCTAGACAAGTCATTCAGGCAAGTCTGTGTCCTTCCCTGGGTTCTTGAGAGGGTGGAGATGTTGTGTAGCACCCAGTGTAGTGTCTGCCCATAAGAAGTACCTGGCAAACCTCTCTCCCTTCTCGTCCTTTCCTCCTCCATTCCCTTCCTCCCTGGTTCTCTTAGTTAGAACAATAAGTCTACGATAAATTACTGAATCATTTTTTCCCCTTAGATCTAAACTGCAGAGGTAGAAAGCAGAGAACTGGGAGATGACAGGTAACTTTTGTACTGGCCACAGACATAGCTCTTCACCTGTCCTTATGCTGCCCCAGCTCCTGATTAACAAGTGTTAAACGCCCTTTCCCACTGGCCCTGAAGCTATGTGTTAGTCTAACTGGTTTCTTTGGCAGTGTTGGAATACACACTTTTGGGCCTATGAGTCATTTGACTTGGGGGCGGGGTGTGGGCCTTTTTTTCTCTCAGAGATAGCCTTTTCAGAGTGCTAAGTTCTCATGAGTTGCCCTCACAAATTTCAGAGGAGGAATACTAATTTGCCGCTTATTAATTATTAAGTGTTCTTAATTGAGCATTAAACTATTCACTGAATTGTCTGTTCCTTTTTCAGTATTGGCTCAAATCAACCTTTTCCTATCAAACCACTTAGTGAATCAAAAAACCGTTTGTTGGACAGTGAATCTCAGTGGCTAGAGAATGGAGCTGAAGAAGGAGTCACCAGATCAGGTAATAATTCCCATCTAGTCCAGATAAGAATCACCAGATTTAACAACCCATATGAAACCAAAGTGGTGTGATGTTTGAGATAATAGAGTATATTGACTGGTAAAATTCATCCGTGGGAGAGGTCAGTTGCTTGTTGATGCTGGATCTATGAGCAAAGGCACAGGTGCAGTGGCTCAGTTTTACTGTGCTCTCTGTTCAGCTGGGCTGTTTCCCAGCCACACATTCTTCACCCAGATATGGAAAGATAGTTTGCCACTGGCTAAACTGAGTAACATTTTAAGAACTGTTTTTAGTGTTCCAATATATATTTAATTGAAAATAATTTTTTAAATGCATTGTACTCAACTGGGTATGGTGGCACACACCTGTAATTCTAGCTCCTGAGGGGCTGAGGCAGGAGAATCAACAAGTTGTATATGCTAGCTAGGCTCCTTGTGAAACCCCCTGAGGATGTAATGACCTTTGTACTCTTTAAAGAGTGGCGACCAGCCCATGAACTGTGGATGCAGTATAGAACAGCTGCTAAGGCTAAGTGCCATTCCTGATCAAAACTGGGTTTACAGTATCATCTGACCACTTAACTCAAGCTGTCTCAGGTACTTATTGATTCCAGTGTTAAGATGCCTGTCAGTGATGTGCTTGGTTATAGTAAAATAGTTTGAGATAGTCAGATCAATTCATAGTATCTAGAGTACCCTGTGAACTGGTCTGAACAGCTCTGATCTTCAGGTGGCAGGCAGGGGGCATGCGCTTTGAGAAGGATTTAGAACTTCTTTTCCCTTACCTCTCATGGTAGCACACCCTTGTATTCCAGCACTTGGGAGCTAAGGCTGGAGGGTTTCTATGAATTTGGGGCCAAGCTGGGCCATAGGGTGATAACCTTGTGTCATAAATAAATAAACATACAAATAAATAAATGGAGGGAATCAATCTGTTAATAAGTGTCTTAGGGTCTTTACAATTATCCAGCTTCCAGGTAAAGTAATGGAGACATGTGTTTCATGCATTTGTTCATTACTGCCGCTTAGCATCTAAACACAGCAGCCATGGTCACAAGGTGAATGTAAGGAAACCTAACCAACTCTCTTATCGTGCTATACTTACTCATGCCTACCCTTTACACAGAGGCAAATAGTTATCATTACACTTTTAATCTTCAATAACTTCTTTTCAGTGTAATTAACTTCTCCATTTAGCCAGAAACTTAATCCTTCTTTTGTCTTATAATTAATTATATGTTTACAGGGACAAATAACCATGTTACAGTGGCAATAGAAAATTGAGTACTACTTGTTCATAACTAACCATTTGATGAGTGCAAGGTAAGATAATATAAAGGTAATTTCCATCAGCAAAATGTAGTTTATTTGCATGTTTCACCTCAAAACAGTTTCTAATTTTTTTCAACGTTATCACCCACATCAAGCAGTCCTGCCTGCGACTACAATATGACTTTTGCCAGAACCTCATTTTCCTTACTGTCTCTAACACAGTGTTATTAACCATTTACTGGTAGATTAATGAAGAAACTAATTGAAAATGTTTTAAGATTTACATGCAAGCATGGTTTAATGAATAAAGGTGCCCATTATTGAAGTCTGAGCAAGTGAAGATTGGTGGACAAAGGCCTTCCAGGTTCATTAATATTAACTTTTGTAAGACACAACGAAGATCATCTCAAACCTATGGCCTAGTGTCCCCTTTCCTTCCTGGCTTTTATTTTCCCAGAGGATCTCATCTGGGGTCTTAACCAGGTGTGGAGCACCTGCATCCCCTGGCATATCATGAGGTCAGGTCTTTGCAGAGAACTTGGAGCCTATGCAGTTAGAGGCAAGGCCCAAGACCAAGGCCCCACTGTGAAGAGTTAGCTGCAGGTCTACATAAATGGGTACTGCACCATGCCAGCCACTTGGTGCTTCTCATGCAGTCAGAGAGTCCCCAGCTAAAGTTTCTCTAGCATAGGTGGATATGAGAGACTGACTCTCTAAGTGGGCAGGCAGGGTGCCCTGAGTGCAAGTTGAATGTTGATGATGCCTCCTTCACTATTTACAAAAGTTTATATTATTATAGTAGAATTCAAGAATTTGGTTCCTAACTCATTAGTCCATATAGGACCATCTACTAAATATCTAAGGAAATAGAAAAATTGGCTTCCAACTAATATTTCAATTTTTTTCTGTTTTTGTAGGTATATAAAAACACATTTTGGACTATTTTCAGTTTTATTTGCAAGAAAAGTGATCGGTGGAATGAAATAATTGAAATATAGCAGAAGATATATTTTTTAAAGGAAGCATTTGTATAGTTTGCTGGATCCACAGGAGACTACGGAACAGAAAGATGCCTTAATTTTTAGTGTCCATTTGTGCAGCATTGCCTCACAGCTCAAAAGTGACTTCATTTTCCTTTGGAAATAACACCTGTCTTGAGATGCTATCCTCACATGTTAACATGGCATTTGTATTTTCTAACAACTGAGTTAAAACAATAGAGTTATTTCTTAGTATCCACATAGATTTTTACCCCAAAAACAAACTCAAAAGTTGTCTTCGGTGAAGTAAATCTAGGACAAGTGGTGGCTAAAAATGATATCCAAATCACTGATTCTTGCGCTGTATAAGGGAAAGAAAATACTGCTTTTTTTTTTATTAGATGTTTACTAATTTATAATTACTGTTTTATACGTTTCAACATTTTAATAAAGATTTTTAAATTATTGGCTATGAAATAACACTCAGAAGGATTCAGATACCTAAATATCATTTAGAACATTGAAGATGTTGACATAATTCAGCGAAGGTTTAGTTAGCAGCATTATAATAAAAGCCAAGTAGCACATACCTGTAATCCCAGCACTCAGGAAGCTGAGGCAGGATTGCTGTGAATTGAGTCTTGCCTAGGCTATGTAGAGACTGTATCCGAAGAGCAGAGCAAAAGAAGCACTAATAGGGTGTAGTGTGTGCCCAAGGCTCAGAGGAAACATGATAATAAAAGGAATATTTTAGACACTCTCTGCTCTTTAATTACCATTTGTTGAATTTTCAGGGGAATTTATATGGGAATGAAAGCACAGAAGTTCACATGCTATGAAGGATCCAACACAGTGTGATGAATAGATGGAAGTAGCTCAGGAAACAAGAACAGGGTAAGAATATTTTGAACAGTGAAACAAAATCTCAGCCCTAGAAGTATGTAAGCTACAAAATGCTAGTGATTCCTAAAAGTTACCATGGTACTTTACAGTACTCTTATAACAACTTAACCAGTGACTGAAAATGCACTTTAGATGAAGGTGAAATAACCAAATTTCTAGTCTTGGGCTGGAAAACCTGTTTCAGTACACAAAAGCACTTGCTCCCACACCTACAACCTGAGGATAGAACTAATTCCCACATGTCTTCTAACATTCACATATGCACTGTTGAACATGGATACTACTTTTTAAATCTCAGTCTCTGACTAATGTGAAATCTCAAGTCTGACTCCCTGTCACCCAATGGCTTTAACATGAATGGCAGTATCAGGAGACCAGTCCAGTGTTCTATAGAAATACAATGTAGAAATGCTGTTCTCTGCTTTTACTGAGACCAGCAGAGAGAAGTCCCACTCAAATGTGTGGGTACCTGGGCTGTATGGTGTCTGTACACACAGTGGGAATGCAAAGGAGAGCACATCCTGGGTGGATTGGGCTACAGGACTCCCAATATTCCCCAGTGTACAAAACAACCTTGCTTTTCATTTACCTACCAAGAGTCTCTGGAATCCTCTGTGTATCAGACATTATACCACAGATAGTGCTGTGGTTTCCCAATCCTCCATAGATCAAGATACCTGCTATTCCAACTTTGCAATTTGGGGAGTTGATTGAATTCTCATTGACTGTACTAATTCTGAATCTTAAGTAACTTGCCCTTTAGAGCAAAGGAACCATGGTTTAAAATGATATGTGTATGAATTCCTCTTGATTTCAATTCTTTATTGTTAACAATTTTGATTCTTAAAAAACAAAAACAATGAGTTAAGAGTTACAAATTACTGCTAGGCATGCTGGTACACTCTGGTAGTCTCAACACTTAGCTTTGTGGTGTGCTACATGAGACCCTCTGTCAAAAGAAAAAAAAAAAAAAAATCAGGAGAGAGAAAAAGATCAATTACCAAACAGAAGTATAACCTCAATCTGATAGTTTGCACCATGCTTTTAGAAGTAACCTGGTCCTTCTCTTTCTGTATTTAGATCAAGAGATTTGCATGCACTTGGCACAGTTTGCCCCCTTAACATACTATTATGTAGAAGTATCATCTTTCTGAGTTGTTATTTGTTTATTAGCATAGTAAACTTTTAAAGTTTTGGCTTTGGTAGCCCTTATAGCCAACATTTTGCCACGGTCTAAAATAATTACCTGGTTCTTGTTGGGTTTTGTTTTGTTTTAGTGCTGGGGAATTAAGCCTAGATCCTTGTGCATACTAGCAATGTCCTCTAACACTGGTCCAGGCTGAATATGTTCATACATATCAGTGGCCATTCATTAGGGGCAAGAAGTGGTATGGGATCCGAGGAAGGCTGGCCCTTCAGTATTTCAATGGCATTGAGTCTGCTGTCTGCTGGGGAGACCAGGTCAAAATTATGCTTTGCAAAATTTCAACACTTGAACATTTGTAAAGAAAATAAAGTTGAATTTCAGGTCTTGCCCTTGCCATTAAAAACATTAGGAGACCTGGTTTACTGGGTACAGAGGTACCTGACATTCAGTACCTGTGACTCCTGGCCACTGTCACTGTGCCAACCAAAGCAGCTGCAGTATACCAGCTATTGAAATGAACATGTTTACAAAGTTGAGTTTTCTCCTCACATAACAATGATTTTTTTTTAAAGACTTTTTAGATAGTGGTTATGATTCAATGTGTTATGAGCATAACAGGTCAGCTTACAAGTTTTACTTGAATTTTAATTCCTACAGAAAGCAGATTTTTGACTTTTTACAGGAATGCTTGAGATGTGTCATGAGACCTCCCATTCCTCTGAATCAAACCTGTATTAAGGGCTTGGTGTTAAAGCCTGTGTATTTGGGGCATTGAAGAGGCAGTAACTCAGAAATATGCTTAGCTTACATCTCATTCTACAAACCAGTACTTCTATCCATGGATAAGTATTTTTAGCTAATCTGATATTAAATCATATTTTTGCATTTCAATCAAATTAACAAGAACATATGTAAAAGTACAGATAAGATATAAATCTGTTATTCATATTTCATATGATCTAAGCTGTATTTTTAAATTTAAAATAAAATATTCAGAAAGGCCCATATTTTTCTAATGACTTCACTATGTTATTTTCTTGGGTTATGTAAAGCAAGGAATTGTATTTGTATTAAGGGGCTAAGAAAGCTGTTAGTTTATTATATTTGTACATGATTATAGACAAGCCAATGTCTGTTTAAAAGATGGATACTATTTAAGGTGATATTTAATATGCTTTTCTATAAACAAGTTTGAAATATAGTTTACTTTAGTTGTCTTTACCTATCAAGTAGCTAACCCTTGTATTTATTTCTCATTTGTGTGAACCTGGACCATGACTCTTTGCTCTGTACTTTGGATGGCCTAACCTACATTAATATGTGCACATTTTACAACTTTTTTTTTCAGAAATCATAATTACTTTATTAATAAACAGATAAAGATATTGCCTTGTTTTGGAATGGTTTTGTTGTCATTATAGTGTTATTTGCCAAATGAGGAAATAATTTCATTTGATTGATGGGAATTTCTGTTAAAAGTATTGTTTAGTTTAGTGGTTCTCAACCTTCTTAATGCTGCGGCCCTTTAGTGCAGTTCATGTTGTGGTGACCTCAACCATAAAATTACTTTTGTTGCTACTTCATAACTGTAATTTTGCTACTGTTACGAATCATAAATGTCTGAGATGTAGGATATCTGATATGCAGCCCCCATGAAAGGGTTTTTTGATCCCCATGGGTTGAGGTTCATTGGTTTAAAGAGCTTAGTAATTTCTGAAAAATGTCCTCTAAGAAAGACAAGTTAAATCGTAGTTGGTTTGTTTGTTTTATTCAGAACCTAAAAGGTTTATTTAATTAGGCTTTTACTGAACTGTTTGTTTCACAAGGCACTTTAGGATCTTGTATACTGCCAAATGTTTAAAATGGTTAAATCGTGGTTGTTGACGTTTTCTTGACCATTAAAATCTACATGAGTATGTGTAAGAGGCAATAGAGAGGCTCACAGAGATAAGTGCCTTTCCCTCTGGCTCAGTAAGTGCACTGTCTGGGGCCAGTCTTGGTGGTATGCACCTATAATCCCAACACAGGAGGCAGAGGTAGGAGTTGAAGCTAGTGTGGCCTACATAGCAAGTTCCAAGCAAACCAGGTTTACCTAGTTGAGACTCTGTCTCAAAACAACACAACACCACCATTAGATGGTGTTACAAAATACACAAGGATAGCAACTAATAGCTCTTTGAAGCCACAGGATTTTATGGGTATTCAACAGTTCATGATGTTAATTGTCAGACCTTGTGTCCATGACTCCCACCTAAGAGGGTGTTTTGTTTTGAAGACTTACTTTTGTGTATGGGCTCTTACAGGAAAGGGACTGCTGATACCCTGGATTCTGTGGAGCTAGAGATAAAGGCAATTGTGAGCCACCTGACATTGCTCTGCAAGAGTGGGAAGCAATTCCAAGCACTGAGCCAACTCTACAGCTCCCTAATAGCTTCCGAGTGATGTGTGTACTCTGTGATCCACCTCAGGCTGCATTTCAGCGCCATCACCTTTCCTCCTGTAGCTGCCTGGCCTCCATCACAGGCTGACACCCTGGGTGTGGGCATAGTGGGCAGGTCTTTAATTCCAGCCATCTGGAGGTAGATACAGGAGGATATCTATGAGTTTGAGGCTAGCCTGCTCTACAAATGAGTTCCAGTACATGACTACATAGAGATACCCTGTCTCAAAAAAGAAAAATTGAAGTACATCCATGTACTTCATGAAGATGAAGTGAAAAAACCTTTCAGAAATCTTCATACATAATCACCCAATGACAGTATTTATCAGGTTCCTTTGCCATCTATTTATTGAGCACCTGCCTTCTAGACAGTGGATATAGATGTGAGCACCTATAAGGACCTGGGTTCTCTGGCAAAGGAAGGTCTAAGATGGCAAGATGGTGGGTAGCCAGGGGAATTGACTGCAGTGGGCTCCGGAAGTTTGACACAGTAAGAAATGGCTTGTTGCTATTTGTGGCAGCTCACACCTGTTACCCCAGCATTTGGGAAGTTGATACAGGATTGCTCAAATCCATTCTGAACTCAGACACACAGGTGCACCCAAGCACAAATGTTGGCTTAAGACTGACTTCATTAGCTGGGGGGTGGTGGCACATGCCTTTAATCCCAGCACTCAGGAGGCAGAGGCAGGTGGATCTCTTTGAGTTCAAGGCCAGCTTGGTCTACAAAGCTACATAAAGAAACCCTGTCTTAGGGGCCAGGGCTGGCGGTGGTGGTGGGGTGTTGCAGGGGAAGACTGACTTTATTTGGCCACTGGAAATAATGACCATGTATTTGGAAGATTATCAACTCTGAGAGAACTTGGAATGAAGTAACTACTAGCAGCTTTGCCTCAGCCCTTTTGAATTTTCTCCTCCCGACCCCCACCCATCCTGAGCCTAGAACCTGGTAAGCAAGCAAATGCTACCTCTGAGCTGCACCTACAACCCATCCCTCGACCTCTTCTTTCTTTTCCGGCTTTTTGAGACAGGATTCTGTGTAGACTTGGCTATTCTGGAACTCAGTATAGACCAGGCTGGCCTCAAACTCAGAGATCTGCCTGCCTCTGCCTCCCAAGTGCTGGGATTAAAGGCACGTGCCTCCCACCATGCAGCTCCAACCTTTTCAAATGAATGTGGTGCCTGTATCATGCAGCCCTTTCCAAGTGTGGAGATGCTGGTGTGCGCTGGAAGTAGTTTGAAGCACTTTCTATAATCCCAGTGATGGGGGAAGATAATTTGTGGGTCAGCCTGGGCTAAACGATGAACCTGTTTACAGGTCCCCAGACCTTAGCATAACATACACCATGATGGAAGTACCATTCAGGCTGTGGAACACCTGCCAAAAAATGAAAACAAAGACCTAATCCATCCAAGTCCATAGTTCTGGGAAAGTCCCTAAATGTACTAACCTTGTCTTTTGACTGTTGTAGTTCTGCTTCTGGTTAAATGAAGTATGTCAACCCAGGTGTGTTTTAGGAGGCACTCCAGTGATAAACACCCAGTATAGTCCCTGGCTGGCTAAGAGAGTTTCTATTGGCTTGCCTCTGTGTCTGAGTTGTCTACTCTGATGAATACCTCACAAGCCCTTGTCTAACTGTTGTGGTTGTTTTTGAGAGGGGCTTGCTACATAGCTCTGGCTGGGTTGGGAGCTATGTAGACCAGACTGACATGCTTGACAGCAAAATTTGTTGGAGAAAAAAGATCAAATGTCCATAATCAATAGCTGTTAACAGACATTATCTATATTACCACGCATGTATTCAAAATACAAGGTGGATCTATACAGATGCAGAGAGGCCCATGATACACTGTTGGGGTAACAAGCAAGCTTGCTAGGCATGGTGGTACATGCTTATAATCCCAGCATTTGGGAGGAAGAGGCAGGAGGATCAATGAGTTCAAGGCCAGCCTGGGTTACATATGGGGGGGGGGGTTCAAGTCATTGATACATGTAATCACATCACACGGGAAATAAACTACATTTTTTTAAAGGGCCAATATAAATTATTCTACTTATAGACCCTTCTCCTAATAGCAAAGACATAGAGATCAACAGTAGTGGGGGAGAGGTTGTTACAAAGAGCATTGAAAGGCCCTGGAGTCATGGAACCATGGTTACAAACAACTGCACAGACCCGTAGACATGCATAAACATGGGTACATTGTGATTTTTGTTTATGATCTAACAAAGCTTGCCTGAAGATTAGAGTGCAAAGCTAGCCACACTAGTTAGCCATAGAGGCTAAGCAATGGTGGCACACACCATTAATCCCAGCACTCAAGAGACAGAAGCAGATGAATCTGTTAGTTCAAGGCCACCCTGAGCTACATGAAACATTCAGTCTAAAAGAGAAACAGAGGTCACACAATGGTGATCCCAGGAATGCATATGGCTGGGTAAAGAGAGAAATATAAGGCAGAAGAGGAGAAATGCAGTCTGAGCAGCAGTGAGTCTAAGCAGTCTGAGGAACAGTGCCGTATGAGGACAGGATCGCCCCTTTGGTCTGAGCATTGGTAAAGAGAACTCTCTAGTAGCTGGCCACTTTGCTTTTCTGATCCTCAGCATTAACCCCAATTTCTGACTGAGTTTTTATTAGAATTCATACAACAGTGCATATAAAATAAGGAAGTCTAGATAAGTTCTATTGATCATATGAATATCAATTTCTATATTTTGTTTTTGGAGGTTTTGCTTGTTTTTCAAGGCAGGGTTTCTCTTTGTAGACCCTGGCTACCCAGGAACTTGCTTTGTAGACCAGGCTGGCCTTGAACTCACAGAGATCCACCTGCCTCTCCAGTGCTGGGATCAAAGGTGAGCACCACCACCACCAGGCAATTTCTAGGTTTCTGTATAGTTAGAGAAAAAAATGTTACCATTGAGAGACATTGGGTGGTAGTTACAATGGACTTATACTTTTTTCTTTTTTGGTTAACTTTTTATGGCATCTCCAAGATAAAAATTTTAAAAGGAGAACTGGACATGGCAGTACACACCTTTGCTCTCAGCACTCAGGAGGCAGAGATAGGTGGACATTTAAGCTTAAAGTCAGCCTGGTGTACATATCAAGTTTCAGGTCAGCCAGGACTACAAAGTGAGATCCTATCTTTAAAAAAAAACAGAAAAGAAAAAAAAGTCCTAAGTCCCAGCTACTCAGGAGACTGAGTCAGGAAGATCAATTCAGCCCAGAAGTTCAACAACCTAAGCAGCATGGCAAGACCTATCTCAAAAAAGTTGTGTGGGTTTTGTTTTAAAACAAAAAATCTTGAACTCAGTTTGTCCTCATTTAGTATGGGCAGGAGTTCCAGGCCAGCATGGGCAACATAGGAGACTTGCTCAAGGGAAAAGAAAAAAAAGAAAAAAAAAAAAAAAAAAAAAAAACCCAGAAACCTCACAGTTAACAGTTTTAATAAACACTTTGCTTAACATGTCTACTCACAGTAGTCAATCCTAGAAGAAAATACTCTTTTGAGTAATGGTCTCATGTATCTCAGGCTGGCCTCAAACTTGCTACACAGTTGAGGATGACCTTGTACTTCTGATCTGCCTTCACCTACAGAATGCTGGGATTGTAAGTATGCCTCACCATACCCAGTTTATTCTGGCTGGGGAGTAAATATTTTTTCTAGACCACTGGTTTTCAACCTTCCTAATGCTGAGAGCCTGTAACACAATTCTTCATTTGTGGTAACTACCGACCATGCATTTTCATTGCATGTTTATAACTGTAATTTTACTACTGTTATGAACTGTAAATATCTGTATTGTTGGTCTTAGGCGACCCCTGTGAAAAGGTCGTTGAACACCCCATCCTCATCCCCAGCCCAGTAGGAGTGTTGGCCTACAGGTACTGTTCTAGACAAAAATTAAAGTCTAGTCTCCATAGGGAGATCCATCTCCAAAACAAACAAAAGCCTTATTTTTTAGTAGGACAAGGAGCCAATGTCTGCAATTCCAGCACTCTGGCTACCGAACGTCTGAGGTCAGCAAACAAAACTTCCCCCAAAACTTAACAACAGATCAGAAATTATGCACATGTAGCAAGATTAGGGCCCCGAATATTCTTTCTTTTGGCTTCCAGAGGTTGAGTCTTACGAGTGCGCCAGCCAAGATTTTTTTCTCCTTTTCCCTCCCAAGTGTGCAGATTACAAGCGTGATCCAAATCCCTAAGGAGAGCCCCAAATACTCTCTATGAAACAACTATTAGTCGTGTTTGTTTTAATAAGATCCTGGTCGAAGGGGGGTGGGTGGGAATAATCACAGTTACATACATCACACTTTTTTTTTTTCCGGCTCCAAGAACAGGTAAGGGCAGAGCAGTCTGGTATCCATAAGGGTAAAGGTGATGATGGCTCCGGGTTAGGACCATTTCTTCGTGACGTTGAGGTGGCTTAGCTGGTCGGCTACGTATCTATGCTTGGGGAACCTGGAAGTGGCGGCCGCCTTGATGGCCTCAAAAGCCTGGGCCCTGCGCTCCGCGGCGTGGCCGTACTCCTGCTCCGCTGTCATGTAGGGCATGCTCAGCCAGTAGTGGTTCTCGGCCTCCACCTCCAGGCGGCGGGCCATGTTCTCCTTCACCCGGAAAGACACGTTCCGCGGCCGCCGGTGCTTCCCGATCCACTGCCGGCCCGGAATGCGACCGCGGAGGAGGACGGAGGTGAGGAACATGGAGCCTCCTGAGGAAACGACACGGAAGCCGGGGTCGCTGAGACGCTGAGCCGGGAAGCGGGCAGCGAGCGTCCGGCGCCCACGGGGCCGATGAGCCGCCCAGAGAACCCACCAGGCCCGCGTACGAACTCACGACCCTCTCACCTCCGAGTCCCAGACACTGACCGACGCGACGACCCAAGCGCGCGTTTCTTCGTGGGCTTGCTGGGGGCCCTGGTGCGAGACTTCCGCTCTCGCGAGAAAAATCTTCTGCGCCTGCGCAGAGCGAGGAACTCCTACCGGCTTCAGGATTTAAATGAGTGGCGCGTTCGAGCGTGAGCGTGAGGGCGTGCTGTTGGCTCCGCTTGCCTCAGCATGAACCCGATCCAGAGTTTCTACTGTAAGCTGCGGGGTCTGGCCGCCGTGCTGGACGACGAGACGGCCCGGCTGCTGCGAGCGCTGGACGGCGAGGACAGCGGTGAGTGAGTGGGCGCGCGCGTGCGGGCGGGCGGGCGGCGGCGTCCGCGACTGTGGGCGAAGTCGAGCTTTGCTTCCCCGGTGTCGCCGCCAGGCGTCCGTGTGTGTCGGGTGCTTGTCAACAACACCCGCCCTGGTGTGTTCGAAAATGCACTAACCGCTGTTCCTCTGTGTGTGTGGGGATTGAAGCAAACGTGCGTTTTCTCCTGTAATATTGTATTCCCAATGAAAGACTCACCTCCGCTGTTTTGTTTTTTAAATGAATAAAATTCACCACCATTCTTACTCGTATTAGAGATTAAAGAAATAAATAGTTGCGGGGCCAGGAGTGGCGCTCGCGTTGAATTCCAGCAAAAGCGGGCGGTTTTTGTTAGTTTAAGGGCGGCCTGTTTTCCATAGGGAGTTCTAGACTGACCAGGCTACCATAGTGAGATCATAAATGTCATAATTTTTAATGTACCTTAAATAATATTGCACCCTGTAGACACAGAAGCATATGACTAACTCTTCACTTGGAAGTGTTTTTGTGACTATAAAATTAATGCTCTGTAGGAAATTTCAAATACAGAAAAGTAAAAAGAATATACATATTTTCTCTTTAACTCACAATGCACATCACTGTTTTAGCAGTTTCTACCATTCTTATTTTAGGGGGTTAAAAATATGCTTTATTTGTTTTTGAGCTAATGCAGAATAACAAACTAAAGTGCATTAGTATTTTTGACTATGAAAATTGCTTTTCACAAAGTGAAAATGTCTATATTCTTACCAAATTACCTCTGCAAAGCTTCATTTGTTTTTACAATAAAAATTGCAAAAATTCTTTAATTATTATGTTAAAAAACACACAGAAGATAATTGCCAGCAGTTGTACTTTCTATAACTGTTCAGTCTAATTTTATGTCAGCTTGACACAGGCTAGAGTCATCTGAGAGGAGGAAACCCCAATTGAGAAAATGCTTCCATAAGACTGGGTTGTAGGCAAGCCTGTAGGGCATTTTCTTAGTGATTGAGGGCCCAGCCCATTGTGGCTTGGGTTATCTCTGGGCTGTTGGTCAGGGTTCCATAAAAGCAGGCTGAGCCAGCCTCTAAGCAGCACTCCTCAATGGCTTCTGCATCACCTTCTGCATCCAGGCTCCTACCTTGTTTGAGTTCCTGTCCTGACTTGCTGGATTACGATGTGGAAGAGTAAGCCAAATAAACCCTTTTCTCTCCATGTTTGGTCTTGATATTCCATTGCAGCAATAGAAACCCTAAGACAATGGCTATAGTGATAAATCACTAAATAGACTTATGGCCTTTGAAATAATTTGCATACAGTAAAACTCTTGCAACTACGTTTCATTGGTTCTTAGTATAGGCAGTTGTGCAGCTATTAGTACAGAAGATTTAGATTTTAATAACTTCCAAAAGATAACTTCCTGAAACTTTGTTAGATAAGCCTTGCTTCTGCCTTTATAGCTGTTCTTTACTCCAGTTAACCCCAAACCCAAACTGATTCATTAAACTGTTGTTCCCTATAATCTTATCACTGCCCATCACTCTGTCTGGCTTTAGGCAACTATATGTCTACTTTCTGTATGAGTGGACCTTTCCTGTAAAAGGGACCCTCTAGTATGTAATCCTTTAGCATCATTCCCGATGTTCACCCACATTGTAAGAACACAGTTGGTCTTATTCCATTATATCAGTTACCATATGTTGTGTTTCTGTGTTTGTAGGACATTTGTCTATTAAGTGTACTTTTTATTTGGTGAAGTAAGGGCTCACTTTATAGCCCTTGCTGTGTTGATCAGAGCCTGGTCTGGCCTTGAATTCATACAATTCCAGCTGCTTTTGCCTATCAGTTCTGAATCAAAGACATGGGCAGATATGCCTGGAGAGTTGTATACTTTGTGTACTGTAGTTCATTGAAAGTTATTTATTTATCTATTCATTTTGTTGTTGTTGTTGTTTTTCAAGACAGGGTTTCTCTGTAGCCCTGTCTGTCCTGGAACTCAGATCAGGCTGTCCTTGAACTCAGAGATCTGTCTGCTTCTGCCTTCTAAATGCTGGGATTAAAGGCACCACACCAGCAGGATTTTTATGTCTAAGGAACTATACTAAATTTTTGTTTTCCTCATGCTTATTGAACTTTTTTTTTTCCCTTGAAGACTTGGAGGATTATCCAATGAGAATTTTATATGACCTTCACTCAGAAGTTCAGACTCTAAAGGTACTATTTTTTTAATAATTTTTCCATGGTGGGTGGTTAATTTTTTGTAGCTTAAGTTGTCATGGGTCTGGGTCGCTCAGAGATCTACCAATCAGACAATAACTAAGGCTTTAATAAGAGGCTTTTTTATTTGCTGGCACCTGACTGATTTGCACCAGGATTTCCTGAGAGCTCTCCCAAGATGCAGCATTTAGCCATATCAACCCAGGGCTTATCCAGGCAAAAACCAAAGATTACAAGTATTTTCTCTGCATGTGGACCGGGGTTTATTTTGACATATTTGTCTTACAGTTGTCCTAGTTATCTTTTTGGGCACAGTAAGCAAGCTTGGTTACAAAAGCAGAAATGGCAGTTAGTCTTGTGACCCTGTCTTGAGGAAAAGCAAATTTTACAAGATCAGTTGATTAAGAGTGGTCTTCAGTGTCTGGGGAAAGAAGGAAGTGAGCAGCTAGGGTACAGCATGTACAGTCTAGAGACTCTCGTATTAGAGGTTTCGTATGCTTGTTTGTTTGTTTTTTGGTCTCTCAAGCATAGTAAGTCTAAACCTTAAACACAAAGATAATCATTACAAAGTGAATTAGATAATGTGTACTATATTTACTTTCCTCCTAAAAGGGTGATGTTAACACTCTTCTTGATGAAGCAAGATTGGTAAGTCAAGAAAGCACAAGATTCATAAAGGCAACAAAAGTATTAATGAAAAAAAATTCAACAGACATCATGAAACTAAGAGAGTTTTTCCAGAAGTATGGCTATCAATCACGTGACAAGGAAGACTCAGGTTTGATTGACTTTCATTTCTTAACATCTCAGTGTGGGGAAAGGCAGAATGATCAAGATTCCACTGAGGCCTTTAGTTGTGTCTGTCAGGTTGTTGTTTAGCTCTGCCTGTCAGGTTGCTTGGTGAGCATTCAGCACTCTGTGCCATTCAGTAGTACACTGTGAAATAAGTAGTCCTTGTGGGTCTTGAATTTGAGGGACCTCTTGGACAAATAGCAAGCTTAAGGCTAACCTGGGCTACATAGAAGTAAGACTTGCAGCAAGAAATAAAACTGCTCTTGCTCTCCTTTCTATAGTGCTGTATGAAAGTGTCTTTGAGCCATTTAAAATGAATGCGTGTGTCTAGTTAAGTAGCTGGTGAACCATTGGCTACTCTCGTTTCTCTTACATTCAGATTCCTCTGCTGCAGAACAAGGTGCTTGAACGATGTAAATTGATAAAGAACTTTTTGGGTTGTACATTTACAAAAAAGGATTGGTTAGTCATGATGGCTCAGCAGAGTTGCACAGGCCTGTAGCCCTAGGAGCAGGGGTGGAGGAGGGTCGTGGCAAGTGTCACCAGTTGAAAAGTTATTACTCAGAGCCTTGTTCCTCGGTGTAAGGTGGGGATGTTTAATCATCAACTTCATGAGGCTTCGTAAAGACCAGTTAAGAGCTGAGCTATTGCAGCCCTTTGGAGGCCAAAGCACAAATATCACTTGATGGAGTCCAGCTGGTATGTTTGTTGCCCAATGTTAATGTTGCTGCTGCCATTCTGCCCATGTCTCTGAGTGGCTGGCTTTAATATGCTTCAATGTCTTGATCTTTTATGGAGATGATCTCTGTAAGGAAAGCATTCATGAAATCCAACAAGTATATATGTGTGGTAAGTATGTTAGTCAGCATGCTGTAGTAGAATTCAATTTAATTTGGAAGTTAGAAAATGTGTAATATAATCTGCTTTCCTCCTAAAATAATCATAGATTCAAATTCTCCTTTTCTTTTGTACTTGGGCACCTAAAAGTTAAGTTTATGGCTGGCAAGATGGCTCTGAGGAAAGGGACTTGTCACCTAACCTAACAATAGTCATCGCTACATGTACCCTGTAGCACACACACAAAATAAACAAAATGTAATTGAAAATTTTTACAAAATTAAAAGTCTAAAATCATACTGTTACAGTTTGTGTTAAATCTAGAACAAAATTGACTATATACCAATTCCATACTAATAATACTTTCAGAAAACACTAAAACTGATAAATAAATCATTGAAGAATAAGAAATTGGATTTTATTTGTGGGTATTGGTTTTTCAGAGTAGTTTCATTTCTCTAAAGTGTCTAGATGGAATACAAGTAGGTAAGATGTATGTATATATCAAACTTGGAGAAGAGACATTTGAAATGAAAGCTTCAAAGAATCAAAATTTCACTGACATGGAATATTTGGGGTGGGCTATTCTGGGTTGTTTTAATAAACAAGAGATTTTTCTGTCTTGATGCCTCACCAGAATTTACTTCTTTGACTTTTTCTCCCAGGATGTGAGCACAAAATCAGTGATTCAACCTCAGAGTTGGCTGTGTGTGAGGACCTTCAGAAGCCTGGTATGGAGGGTGATCTGTCTGACCCATGTGTTCCGAGCAGTTCTGTTTCTGAAAAGCCCCTGCTACGCAGCCCACAGCTTTCAGATTTTGGACTTGAGCGGTACATGGTCTCCCGAGTCCCAAACCCTCCGCGGGCAGCTGACAGCCTTAAAGAAGGGTGCATATCTGAAACCCCTCCCACCAAAGACTCTTCAGTCACAGTGCTAAAGACTCCCAGGTGTGCTCTAAAAATGGATGATTTCGAGTGTGTAACTCCTAAATTAGAACACTTTGGAATATCTGAATACACTATGTGTTTAAATGAAGATTATACAATGGCACTTAAAAATAGGAAGAACATTAAAAGGTAAGCAATTTGAAATTTTTAAAAGATTTATTTTTGTGCTTTTCTTGTTTTTTGTTTTGTTTTCTTTTTCAGGAGACCGGGTTTCTCTGTTTAACAGCCCTGGCTGTCCTGGAACTCACTCTTGTAGATTAGGCTGTCCTTGAACTCACAGATCCACCTGCCTCTCCTCTGGAGTGCTGGTTTATACCACCACTGCCCAGATATTTTTGTGAGTTTTAATTACATGTGTGGGTATGTACTGGTGAGTGCAGGTGCCCTCAGAGACCAGAGGTATTGGATCCCCTTTGGGATTGGAGGTACACACAGTTGTGAGCTGTCTGATGTGGGTGCTGGGAACTGAGCCATATGTGATGTTAATTGCTGAGCCATCTCTTCAGCCCCTTGAGAATAAATATGTTTGTTACTTCTTTAAAAAACTTTATACAGTGTTTTTCTTATATTCCTCCTAATTCCTTTAGCACCTACCCTCCCCTAACTCATGTTCTTTTTTTTTTTTTTTTTTTTTTTTTTTTAATAACCCATGGAGTCTGATTTGTGCTGCCCATATACTGCTAGAGCATCGTGTACCTCCCAGGGCCACACCCTTAAAGAAAACAGATTTTCCTTCTCCCAGCAGATAACAGTTGCCTGTAGCTCCTCTGCTAAGGGAGGGACTTTATGACCTCCCTCTCCTCCAAGTTGGAATTTTGTGTCATTTAACTTTGTGTATTCTATGACTATTGTGAATCCATATGTGCAACTGCCTGGTGTGTCAGGAAAACTATTTGAATGTAGTCATCTGCTGCCTCTAGCTCTTAACTTCTTTCCACCTCTTCCAAGATGATCCCTGAATCTTGGGATAATGTCCCATTTAGGGTTGAGCTCTCAGTATAGTCTTTTACCCTCCCTATGGTTACTGTTGTGGATCTCTGTGTTAATGGCCATCTGCAAAAGGAAGCTTCTCCAGGCCAGATGTGGTGGCTCACAGCTTTAATCCCAGCACTCGAGAGGCAGAGGTAGTTTGGTTTGTCAAGAGTTCAAGGCCATCCTAGTCTATGTAATTAAGCTCTAGGACAGATTGGGGCTATGTAGATAGACCCTGTCTCAAAGAACAAAACAAAAGCAAACAACAAAAATGAAGCGTCTTTGATAAAGATTCAAAGAGATGTAATAATCAGGCTGGGTCTGTAGTGGTGCATGCCTATAAACCCAGTTTAAGGCCAGCCTGGTCTGCATAACAAGCTCCAGGATAGTCAGGACTACATAGAGCTTTTCTTACAGAAGAAAGGGTTGGGTGGGTACACTAATCTGTGATCAGTGTCAGAATTAATAGTAGTAGTTTCTCCCTCTAAGATCTGTCTAGCTATGGGTGTAGCGCCCGAGCTACAGTCTGTTCCACTAATTGGGTGAAGGCCTAGAGATTGAAATAAAAGACAAGACAGCAGATCATTCATGCAGCTGGAATGCTGTTTATTGATGGAGTGGGCTTATATACTGACTTACAACACAGTGGAAAACAAGGGTCAATCGTGCAAGTTTTGGGGCTTAGTTCCCCCCAGCAGATGTGTGTTAGCAAATCAAGAAGAGTACCAGGAACTACTCTGGTGCAAGATGTTCCAGTCAACAGCTTCAGGCTTGCTCAAGGTGCCTCGGGGGTCCATGCAGGGCCCTACACATGGTTACTTGGCCCCAACTACAGTGTTAGGTATAGGTTCTGTCTTGTGGATCAGGCTGGAATTAGAAACTGGTTTGCTTAGTGGTGGTTGCACATGCCTTTAATCCCAAAACCTTGTCTTGGAAAACCAAAGAAAGAACGTTGTTATTTCTGAATATGTGGAATATGTAGGCATATGTGGAAGTCTATGGGACCTCACTGGCAAATAACTCCAAAAGGTAACTCATTCCAGGTACTGGGCTTTTTAATCTAATAGTCTGGGGTGTTTTAGAGATGGCACCATTGCTCCTGTTTATAGGATAGCTTCATTTAAACTCTTCATATATGTGTATGTTTTAGGAGGCTTTTACAGAAGTAGGTCTCCATGACTTTTTCCAGAGATTTTTAGTGTTAATTGTCCCTCTATCCTGCCCTCATTCCTCACCCCACTTAATCCTTCTTACTCCATTATACACACCCCCACCTCTACACACCACACACACACTGGTACTGTATCTATTCCACATGCAAGAGAAGATGTGGTATTTGTCTTTCAGAGTCTGGGTACCTCATTCAGAATGATTGTTTATAGCTCTATCCATTTATTTACCTGCAAATGTCATGATTTCATTTTTCTTATCAGTTGAATAATATTCCATTGTGTAAATGTACCACATTTTCATTATCTGTTGTCAGTTGATGTAAGATACTTCCATTTCCTGGTTGTCATGAATAAAGCAACAGTGAACGTAGTTGAGCAGGCATCTCTATTGTAGAGTATAGACTCCTTGAGACGCATACTCAAGAATGGTATAGCTGAACCATTTGGAGGGTCTATTTCTAGCTTTATGTGGAACCTACATACTGATTTTCATAGTGGCTACACCTGTTTAAACTCCTACCTGTAGGAAAAGAATGTGTTTCCCTTTGCTGATATCCATGTCAACAAAACTTGGGATTTTGCGTTGGTTGAGTTTTTGTTGTTGATTTTGTTGAGTCAGGGTCTCTCTGTGTAATCCTGGAAGGCCTGAAATGCACAGTCCCACCTCTGCCTTCTGAGTGCTGAGATTAAAGGTATATACCACCATGCCTGGTGTTGCTTTTCTTTCTTTTTTGTAATCTTAGCCTTTGTGGCAGATAAGATGAGCTGCCCCTGATGCCTATGGCAGGAACTGAACTGGAGTCTTCTGGAAGGTCAGGAAACACTGAGGCATCTCTTGAAGCATTAATCCAAATAATCTTAGCCAGTAAAAGCCAGAAGTCAAATATTGGGGTAAAGACCCAGAAGATCAGAAAACCCAGAGCAGCTGCCAGTTGCATCATTCCTCAGTTCAAAAATCGAAGATATCCCGTCTCCACCCCACTGCACCACTTTCTGTCTCCAACTCCTGAAAGATGGGATTAAAGGCATGAGCCACCACTGCCCAGCTTTGATGGTTAACTAGTGACTAGCTTCACCCTCTGATCCCCAGGAAAGCTTTATTTGTCAGAATACAAAATGTCACACAACAATCTCTCTTGCCCACTTTTGTAAGGAGTTCAGCTATTTCATATTTTAAATAAATCTCTTGAATCACTAATTTCATCAGTGAAGTATAAGCTATTGATCTCCTAAGAAGTGATACTGCACAGTGTTCTCTCCTGTGTATTTGTGTAATTGGACAAGTCAACTCCCCACTCCAACCCCACCTTGAGAGACATGGTTTTTCTGGGTAGCCCTGGCTGTTCTGGAACTCAGGAACTCACCTGCATCTGCCTCCCAGTGCTGGGATCAAAGGTGTGCTCCCACTAGGACAAGTCAATCTTAGTAATATGATATATTCAGTCTTTTTAATGGCAGGGCTTTTTTTGTTTGCTTGTTTTGTGTGTGTGTGTGTGTGTGTTTGGGTGTTTTAAGAGCCAGTGCTCTTAACCACTGAACCATCTCTCCAGTGCCGCCGCCCCCCATTTGTTACTGGGCTTCAATAATTTTGCTTTCTATCAGACTAATAAAAAATAAATCCTGACACACTATGTTATTAATGAAGTCTTGCTGACTTGCTGCATTTGCATACTAGGAAAATTACAGATTTCTTTTTAAGTTAGAGGTTGTTAATCTGCTTCAGGATGATCAAGCAAGGAATCACCTATTACCGCTCAAGTGCTAGGATTGCATGATGTGCCTCCACACCTTGCTTTATATATTTGTATATTTTAAATAAGTATGAATGCTACATTAAATATTTAAAGTAAAAGGTAATGTCTGTCAGATATATTTTTAGATTATTTTAATGGTTTCTTCCATTGGTCTTTATTTCATAAACCAAAAATGAACCCCAGACTGAAAGATAGATGTCATTTTTCTGCAAAGATTGAATGTTAACTCTTTCAATTTTACAGTTCCCCTCTGAATAGTGCCAATGAAGAAACCATAGGGACAGAACCTGTGACCAATGAGAATTCTTTTGACATTCCTGGTTTCATAGTCCAGCAGCTAGAAAAAACTGGTGAGTTTAAAAATTAGCTTTTCCTTTGTACTCTTTTCTGGTTAACTTGTATAAAATGATTCTAATTTTAGATTACTAACTTTATAGTTTACTGCTTTTGTTTGTTTAGGTTTTGTTTTGTGTTTTTGTTTTTGAGACGGGGTTTCCCCAGTAGCTATGGATCCAGTCTTGGAACTCACTCTGTAGACCACACTGGCCTCAAATTTACAGAGCTCCCCTTGTCTCTGCTTCTGGAATGCTAGGATTAAAGGTTTGCGCCATCACTGCCCAGCTTTTTTTTTGTGTACATTTGTCCGTGTGAGGGTGTTGGATTCCCTGGAGCTGGAGTTATAGGCAGTTGTGAGCTGCCATGTGGGTAGGAATTGTACCTGGGTGCATGAATGGCAAGAACTGTTTGTTTTTGTTTTGTTTAGTTTCTGGTTTTTCAAGACAGGTTCTCTCTGTATTGCTTTGGAGCCTGTCCTGGAACTAGTCTGTAGACTAGGCTGGTCTCGAATTCACAGAGATCTGCGTGCCTCTGCCTCCCGAGTGCTGGGATTAAACACATGTGCCACCAACGCCCAGCAGCACTGTTTGTTTTATGTTAGGTTTTTTTGTTTTTAAATTTTTATTTGTTACATGTGTGTGTGAGATGTTTGTATGTGAATATGGGTATATGCTTACCATAAAATGCATAATGGAAGCTGAGGACTCACTGTGTCATGTAGGCATTGAACACTAGTCATAAGGTTTATGTGACAAGTGACCTTAACTGGTGAGTTATTTCAATGGCTACTTTATATGGTTTATTTGTTTGATTTTTGGTTTTTGGAGACGGAGTTTCTCTGTATACCAGTCCTGACTGTCCTGGAACTCACTTTTTAGACCAGTCTGGCCTTGAATTCACTGAGATCCACCTACTTCTGTCCTCCCCTTACCCCCTAGTGCTGGGATTAAAAGCATGTGCTACCACTGCCCGGCCTTGTACATGAATTAATTTATAGTTATCTTTGTAGCTATTGATTTTTTTTTTTTAATTTTGGTAGTAGGGACTGAACCCAGGGCCTTAGCAAGCATTCTAACAACTGAGTTAGATTCCCAGTAGTTTGTCAATATTATATGTTACCTATTACAGCAGAATTCATTACTTTGTACTGCTCTTCTGCAACTTTCGTTAATGTTATATATGAATTTGACAGTTTTGGTTTTTCTTGTTCAGCCAAACCACACACCATATTACTAACAAAATATACAGACTAAATTGTCAGTGCTTTTAACTTAAAAAATGGAATATTGGGGCCCCAGAGATGGTTCAGTGGTTAGGAGCATGTACTGCTCTTCTAGAGGACCTGGGTTTGATTGCTAGCTCCACATCGGGCACTCACAACCCCCTCTAACTTAAAAAGTTGGAATATTTATTTCAACTTAATTTTCATGCCAATTTTATGTCTTCTAGATGCTGAATACACAAATTCACCATTGCCACCTAAATTCTGCACTCCTGGTTTGAAAATTCCTTCTCCAGTGGACAGTACAGCTTTGGTAAAGTTCCACTGAAGTTTAAAGTCTTCCCCCTTACGACTCAGACATTACTTCTGGACTCAGTGTGTCTCACAAATTAGACCAGTGCATCTCTTTGGAATGCACATGTAGTGTATTCTGGGAGGTAGTTAAGCACCATAGATCAGGACCTGATACCATATCAAAAAATTTGTTGGAGGCAAATTGAGACAGAGATAAAAGTATGGAAAGAAGTACAGAAATATAAATGGCTAGTGAGAAAGCAGCAGAATGAATGAGCTTATCTAAAAACTGATACCAAGTATCTGTCATGGTCTAAAAACCAGATGAGACCAAACCAAAAGAATATTTTCAAGAAATTTGATGTTCTTGAAGATTAAAAAAAAAAAAAAAATGGGCCAGGTGGAGTTGTGGCTGCGCACGCCTTTAATCCCAGCACTCAGGGGGCAGAGGCAGGCAGATATCTCTTGAGTTTGAGGCCAGCCTGATCTACAGAGTGAGTTCCAGGACAGCTAAGCTGCACAGAGAAACCCTGTCTCAAAAAACTAAAAATGAAAGCAAAAAGAATGAGATCAAAGTGGTTCTCCCTAGGTAACAGATTAGTAATTTTTCCTTGTTAACTTATTTAACATAATCAAAAACCTTCCTCACTAGTCAAGTGAGAGAGCTGGTACTGTGCTGAGGCATCCAGCGAGACTGTTGATGGTGGGAGTGTGCTGTCATTTTAGTGTTCAGCATGGCAGCCACTAATCAGACAGTGATTGTAATTTGTAAGCACCTAAAATGTAGCTTGGTACACCTGAGCTGTGGCTAGTAATCCTGTACAGTGTAGCTGTAAACAGTTTCTAAGCAGGTTGGCTGCCTGCAGGTAACTTGGCCATTTTCAGTTCATTTATATCTTGTGTGTTTTTTTGTTTTGTTAAAGAGAAAGGGCTTCGTGTAGCTCAGAGTGACCTTGACCTTGCTTATAGGTGAGAATTAACTGACCTCATCCTCTTGCCTGCACCACCATGCCCACTTGTGTTTGTATCGCTGAAGAAGGCACCCATTGCTGTGATATTCCTAGTCACATGGTCTTCATTAACTTGAGACTAGCATGAGTTAAATGTATGCAGAGCTTCTCTTAGATGTGGGAGCCAGCCTTCATGTATGCAGACAGCATATATAAACATTCTGTTCCTCTGAGCGGGGCTTTCATGTCTAGCCCAGACTAACCTTTCTTCCTTTTGTTCTATGCTCTACCCTTAGCACCTAAATTTTGCAGTTTTTCTATGTCCCGGCAGCCACTCCCAAATAACCACACAGAGACTCCTTACTTGTAAATGCTCAGCCAATAGCTTATGCTTATTTTTAACTAGCCCTTACAACTTCACCCATATTTCTTGTCTACCCTGTGCCCCTGACAGTACTGTCTTTCAGTACGGCATGTTCATTTCCTGATTCATCTGCACCCCACTTCCCGCTTGAGACTCCTCAGACTCTGCCCTTCCAGCATCCTTCTTCCTAGTCTGGCTCTCCCATGCAGTCTCTTTCTGCCCAGCTATAGGCCACTCAGCTCTTTTTCAACCAATGAGAACAATACATGTTTACAGTGTACAAAGGTTGTTCCATAGCACCTGGTTTGAGAAACCCTTCTGCAGGGACCATACAGCTTTGGTGAAGTTTGCTGAAGTTAAAGCTCTGATCCTCCTCCTTAGGTCTCAGATACCCAGCTCTCCACTTCAGCTTTCACCTAGCTTGGTTTCTGCTGCCCGAGATGGGGTTGGGGAATCTGTCTAGATATGAGGTTCAGCCACTGTTCTGTTGAGTTCTCCCTGAAAGCCTGTATTAGTAATGAAGATGGTACTTCATCTTCTATGTATGATTTTCTTGATTTAGGTGGAACTCAGTCAGACAAGGGGGACCATTTAGGACCTGCTTTAGTAGACTCCATTAGAGCTAACTGAATAAAAGTTTGTTTAAACATTATTATTTACTTACCATAATTCAATTATTTATTTTTATTCTGTAGGTATATAAAAATTATCCATTGTCAAAACCAAGTAGTTCAAGCGATTTGGAAGTTAAAGATTATGCTCCATCAATTTTAAATTCAGACAAATGCTATGAGAGTTTTGCGGACCCCCCTTCTCCTACAATTACTTCTTGTGAGACTATCAGAACACCCAGTCCTCCAGAAGTCACTGCAATTCCAGAAGACATTCTCCAGGTTATTTTCCAGGCTATTTTTTCCTAACATTTTTACAATTATATATTTGTGTTAGAGAATTGAAATTGCATATAACCTGTCATGTTTACCATCAAACCAGTCTGTGACTTGGTTTTAGTGACATTCTCATGAGGTATTTTCTCTTTAAATTTGTGTTCTACAATGTGTTATTTCTGTTAGTTTTTATCTGTGCTTGCCACATTGACTAATTATTGTTCCTTTGAAAGTGAAAATGTCATTTTCCATATAGTTACCATAGCAGGGTATCATTAATAATGTGTATTTGCATTTCTCTAACTGTTTCACATGAGAATAAAATAGCTGACTGTAGAATGGCATCACCAGCTAGTAGATACTACTGACAGGGCAGACTCTGACCGACCCAGGGTTGAGCAATCAGTACTTAGGTGCAAAGGATTCCTAAGTGACTGGTTAGAGATGTTTTGCCTCACGGGCAGCCATGAGAACAATAAATGGAGAAAATACCTAACTGCCAGTAGAATTGATTCAACCCTGAAAGATCAACCAAGGATCTGTTAAATTTTTCTTTTTTTTTTTTTTTTTTTTTTTTTTTTTTTCATTTTATTTTTAATTGTGTGAATAATTATGTGTATATTTAAACATGTGGGGGGGATATATCTATACCTACCTATGAATACAGATGACTGAGTAGTCAGAAGAGGGCTCCAGATCTAGAGTTAATGGACAATTGCGAGCTGCCCAGAGTCCAAGCTGGGAACCGAACTCTAATCCTCTGTAAGAGCAGTGCATGCTCATAACTGCTGGGCTGTCTCTAGTCCCAGTTGCTTGCTTTCTTGGGAGATAAACTAGAACTGTCTTGGTGAGAGTGTATGTAGGGACTCATGTTTCCTATTGTGGGTTTTCTGTTTGCTTTTCGTACTGTGCTGGGGAGCAACACTGGGACTTGTTTGGTACAGAAGCATATTACTTTTACTAAATGTCCAGTCCCAAGGGCACCTTACATTCAGTACTTCTAGTTTTTTCTTTTAATGTTTTAGTAGCATATGTTAATTATATAAAGCAATGGATTTCATGAGTTTTTGTTGTTGTTGTTGTTTTTCTTTTTGGTTTTTTTGAAACATGGTTTTCCTGTGTATCCCTAGCTTGTCCTGGAACTCACTCTAGAGGCCAGGCAGAGATCCATCTGCCTCTGAGTACTGGGATTAAAGGCATGTGCCACCACAGCCCAGCTTACATGATAACATTTTCATACATGTACATAATTGTTGATACTCACAGACACACAAACACCCATTACCTTCTCTTGCCTGGCTCTCACAGGTCCTTTCCCTTCCTAACTAGGGGGTGAGTGTGTCCTCAAATGAGTTTCATTAAGGTTGTTTTAGGAGCAAGAGTGAGGGTTTGTTTAGGAGTGGCTATGTCACTGAAGACAATGTCTCACCCACCTCATTAACTCTGTCTAGATAGTCAGGGAGAGGTAGGCCTGTGCATTTGTCCTTGTCTTGTGTAGATATAGTGCACATCAAGACTTAACATGCCTCTCAGGATGTTTCCATTAACTTTTTAGTTAGTAAATGTGTATTTATATTGTAGACATCAAAATTCCATGTTATTTTTATTTTCTTTGCTGTTCAATGTCTATGGACTGCTGATTTTTTATTTTTTAAGTATTTTAAGTAACGTTTGTCTAATTGTTTGTGGCTTTGGGGGTATGGAGGTGTGGGCAGTTTCCAAACAGGGTTTCTCTGTAGCTTTGGAGCCTGTCCTGAAACTTGCTCGGTAGACCAGGCTGGCCTCAAACTCAGAGATCCTTCTGCCTCTTGCCTCCCAAGTGCTGGGATTAAAGGCATGCACTGACACCACCTGGCCTCATGGCTTTTCTTGAATGTTTACAACTCCATCCAGATTTGTCTTTATTTTTGTTTCAGATGTTAACAAAGCACAACTCAAACCTAGCTACTCCATTGGCAGTTAAAGCAATGCCACCCAGGAAAGGCTTCCTCAAGTACGAGGGACACAGCATCCGAGGTGCTGCCAACAAAGAAAACTGGTGACTGTAAGACGGCACCACAGAACACGCCTGCTTTATCGGAGGTATTTGAAAAGCAGGGTGAGAATGGAAATGGCGATTTCCCGTTTCATTTGCATTGCCAGGGCAAGTTAATAGCCTGCTCCACCTGAGCCTAAGAATTGGCCCTTGATCTCACATTCCCAGATTAGCAAATCTGCTTGTGTGGTAATAAATCCATTCCCAACTTTCCTTTTCAAAAAATTTTTATTATTAATTCTTCAAACAGGGTCTTACTCTATAGGCTTGGCTGGCCTCAAATCACACATCTGCCTACCTGCCTCAGCGTGTGCCACCAGTTTCTTTTAATTATGTCTTGTGTGTGTGTGTGTGTGTGTGTAAATTTAAAATACTTAGCTACCATGTTGCCTTCTGTCTTGATGTCCTTTGATTTTTGTTTCTGTTTGTAGGAATTCTAATGTGGATACATCCAATACAGAAGCTGGACAGAAACGAAACGGGGAAGCAGGCTGGACTGAAGCTCTTCTCAAAATTTTCTTTAGACATTTTAGCTGGTTAACACCAAGAAACCAAAGGAGGTGGAGGGAGAGCTCAATGCTGTCAGTCTTTTCTCAAACATGTTTTTCATTGATTTCATTCTAACGGGAATGTTTCCGTTCCACTGCACTGTGTTGGCCTCTCCAGCTTCCATCTCTGCCTCCCGAGTGCTGGGATTAAAGGAGTACATTACCACTTCCCAGCTGCTTTAGGAAATTTTGTGTGGCATAGAGATTATTCTGATTATGCATTGAAAATTATGTGGAAGAATTCCAGGGTAATTGTGTTTGTATATTTTTTGTTATATAATATAAAATAGATGGATTTTTGAAGTAAAATTCTTTCATGTGCTGCTGACTCCAGAATTTCTTCCAGCCCTTTGTCACCATATGGCATCTATGGCCACAAGTCCACATAACTGAATGAGACTGCTGGAGGAGTGAAGAGTGGCCGGGGAGATGGCTCTAAGGTTAAGAATGCTTGTTGCTCTTGCAGAGACCCGGTCTTGATTCCAGGTACCCCCGTGATAATTTACAACCATTTGTAACTCCATTCGAGGGGATCCAATGCTCTATTCTGACTTCCTTGGGCACCAACCATACACAGATGGGTTGCACATGCTACATGCAAGCAACCACGTAAAATATAATAGGTAAGTCTAATGAAGTTTTTAAAGAGTAGGAAGAGGAGAGTGTTTTAGCAAAGGTTGGGGAAGAGGCCTAGTGACTTAGGAAGAAGTATTTTAGGCAGAACAATCATTTCTTTCAGTGCTGCTGAGAATATTGAAGCTGAATTTTGTTAGGTTTGCCATAATTAATAATAATTTTAGACATGGTTTGGGGTAGACTGAAGAAAGAGCAGGAGGGCATAGAGAGCAGTTGAGGCAGCTCTTTGGAGTTGTGCTAAGGACAGTTAGTAAATGGGTGGGCTAGAAGGGAAAGACGGGATAGATGTTTTTCAGCGTTAGTGGTAGACTTGGGGTTAAGCATGGCTTGTTTTGACCTTGGCCCTTCAGATTGTACAAAATTTGTTTCCCTCAGCACTTCCCTGTCCCTAGCTTATCACTTAGAATGATGCTTCTAGCACAAGCTGTACATGCAGTGGATTTCCAGGGTATTTTCTTGCTGTTTAAAGAAAGTCCAAGACCTTTCCTGTGACTGCTCTCCCACAGTGTGTGCCTTAGCCACACCAGTCATCAACTTCCTGCCTTGGGTCTGGCTGCTCTGCCTAGAATGTTTTTTTTCTGCCAACTCTGCTTCATTCTCTTCTGTCCTCAAGCAGTTGACAACTGACATTGTTTGCGTCCTCCACACTTGAGAACTTAGGCTTGCTGGGCAGTGGTGGCACACGCCTTTAATCCCAGCACTTGGGCAACAGGTGGATCTCTGAATTTGAGACCAGTTACAAAGCTGGTTCCAGGATAGCTAGGGCTGTTACACAGATAACCCTGTCTCAAAAAAAAAAAAAAAAAAAAAAAAAAAAAAACACTGCTCATCCAAGCAGCATTGGAATCTGACAGTACTGGGTGAAATGTGCATACCTGGAGTCATGCAGGGTCAATCTACCTGGACACAGTTCACAGGTCCTAGCAAGATAGAGATGTCTCCACTGTGAGCTGTCTTGAGCCGGCCAGCTGTGCCAACTTCCCATAAATATGATCACAAACCCCTGTGCTTTATGCTTCTTAAGAGTTTGTTATTGCAAACAATGAGTATTGAAGGATTGGTTCCAGATACCATTCTGGCTCTTGAGTGCTATATTGTCTGCCACTAAATAGAGCTTATACTATTTATCTGAGTATAAAATGTTCTTCTCCCAGGTGGGCTGCCCACTGGACCCTTGGTTTCTGTGGCCTTTGCCCTAGTCTCATGTATACTTAATTATTGGTAATGTCAGTTACTGAGATTTTTGTCAGTTTTGATTCTAAATGCTATTAGCTTATATAAATCTTATATATGAGGCATTTCAGATGAGGTAATTGAGGCATTCATTGTTTTCCTTGTGTCCTATTTTACAGTTTTGCAAAGCTGTAATGGTCTCTGAAATCTGGGATGTTCTCTAACTCAGTTCTCACCTTGGTTATATAATCTGACATTTCTGCCTCCTTTCCTTCAGTTATTGCCAGTAGTAATAGAGTTGGCTAAGAAGCCTGAGGCAGTGCTTACCTAATGAGAAGGACCTGTATTTGATGCCTAGCACCAGAAAAGATTGTGCACTGTGGCCCTTCTGTTAAGTCCTTTATCTGGAGTAGAAATGTCACCTCTTCCTGCCAGTTTTTAATTACTTTCTGAAAGTTCACCTCATTTGTATTCAAATTATTTTAGTTGGTTACAACCAGACCTGTTAGCAGGATGGTCAGGATTCAAGGCCTACGTACAGTTCCAGGACTACAGTAGAGACAGCATCTCAAAAAAAAAAAAAAAAAAAAAAGCTTTTATTTAGTTAAGTTACTGTACATGAAGTTTCCTTGGAAGTGGTCAAAAGCAGCTGAATAGGGTTACTACGTCAGAACCAGTTGGTAGAGGCAGAAGCAGGCAGATCCATGAGTTCAAAGCCAGCTTGGTTTACAGAGCCAATTCCAGGACAGCCAGGCTGTGCGGCAGAACCCAGGCAGAATTTCCCAGGCAAATTGTTTACTAAAGTGACTTAAGTGTTTACTATTAAAAATGCTTTGTTCTGACCCTGTATGCCTTTGATTCTAAGATAGAAAGCAGAGGCATGTAAGATCTCTGAATTCTAGGCCAGCTTAGTCTACACAGTGAGAACCTGTCTCAAAAACAAGGGCTACAGAGAACACTTGTTGCTTTTGCAGAGGACTGACTCTATTTGGTTCCCAGCATCCATCTGTAACCTCACAACCAGTTGTCAGTAATGCCAGTTCTGGGGGCCTAATACTACCCTCTGACCTCTGAAAGGGCCATGTGTACACATGATATATATATATATATATATATATATATATATGCAGGCAAACACTCATACACATAAAATAACAGTTATGTCAAGATGCTCTTTGGGCTAGTGAGATGGCTCAGGGTAAAGGTGCCTACTACCAAGTGTGACAACCTGAGTTTGATCCTGGGAACTCAATGGTGGGAAGCAGGGAAGCAACACCCAAGTTGTCCTTACTCCTACTCCCCTTTCTCCAAACAAAAGTTGTAATTTTATTTTGATCTTCAGTTTTAGCTTACTGCGTCTAGGAATTCCCTTATTTGTAGGAAACAAGATTCTTGTGATTTTTGTCTTCAGAGAATGGTTGCCTGGTCAAGATTAATCCTAATAGAATACTTTTAGTTTATTTCATTGCCAACCCCAGGAATTCAGCCATTGATAAGTGTCTAAGACAACAAACCAGACAGGTAGTCATTCTACTGCTCTCAACCACCTTCAAGATGGAAACTACAGCCATGTGTTTTAAATTGGAGTTTGTAATTGTGTATGAATTCACTAAGGCGTGGTCAGTTGTTCCAAACACCTGCCTTGAACTAGATTAAGTTGTTGCACCTCAGCCGTGGAAGTTATGAGCTGGGTGCTTGGCAGTATGTTCTGTACAGACCTGGCACAGCTAAGCTGTCCCACACAAGCTAGGAAGCGTCAGGTCAAGTCCAGTTCTCCTCCATGTCAGAGACTTAACTGTTCAGCTCTCTTCCTCCTCACTTGCCCTTCACACTTCAGCATGCAGTTACAATCTGATACTGAAATGTTACCTAGTCAATGACTTACTGCACTGCCATCTCCCCTGCCCTGCAGACCCTACTTTAAAGCTTTCTCGGCTCTTCAGGGTAAACTACACTGTAGCCTAGCTCTGGCTCATTTCCTCTCTCCACTACATGCATGCTTGGTGCTGAAGTCAAGAGGGAGTCAGATAAGATCCCCTAGGACTGGAGTTTAGAGTTGTGAGCCATCATGCAGGTGCCGGGAATAGGACTTAGGTCTTCTGCAAGAACAGCAAGTATTCTTAACCTGAGCCATCTTTCCAGCTCTAGTCACCTATTTTATCTTGTATCATCTATCAACAAAAGATGGTTTCTTCAACTTATTTACACAGGCCTATACTATGATGCCACAAACTTGACTGAACCATTTTATACAACCCCATGGCATTCTTGTCTGCCTCTTGAGGGCTTAAAATGCCCTTGGCTAGTAAAACCCATATGAGGTGAAACTCTGTTCCCAGGCTTCCATTAACTTTCACACCTGGGCTAATTGCACACATGTATTTCACAATAGTTTTACGCAGAATGCTAAGAGCACTTTTTGTATTTTACAGAAGGGCTTAAAACATACAGACTTTAATATACCAAAGTACATCCAACTCTAATTCCTAAATAAATGTGTTACAATTTGCTTAAAATTTAAAGGCTTAATGGCAAGGTTCAAGGGAGGAAAAGATTAAGTAAGTTTATTTTACAAACAGGCTGAAAAATAACTTCAAGAAAGTCAATAGGATTTAGTACGGTCTCATCCGTCCTGAAGGAGGTGCTCGATTTGGAGGAGTAATGGCTATGTCCAGATAATCCCCTATTTGGAACTTCTGTGACTGCAGGGTCATGGAGTCATCAGTGCCTTTCCTGCCGGACATGGTGCTGCCAATTTCCTTAACTCTGCAGGGAAGGAAATCATCCGTTAATAGAGTAGGACTGCATAGACGGAACAGTACAGACTACAGAGAACATGAAATGACTGCTACACAACAAATTTCCAGAATTTAAACAGTACATTCAAGCTAAGCCAGATCTGAATTTAAGCCTATAGACACCACCACTGCCACTAAAGAGATTATCCCAAAGCCAGGCATGGAGGCATATGCCTATAATTCCAACACTGAAGCCTGAAACAGACTGATAGCTCCATCTTGTCAGAAAGGGGTCCTGCAAATTCCAGAGATTACAGAAATTAAAGTTAAGAAGTCACTTACCGATATCCCGGTCGTTTAAGATCCATAAAAACAATTGCAAAATTGAAGTGTGTGCCCTTCTTTCTGGCTTCTGGATAGACTTCCTTTACTAAACTAGTCAGTTCTTTCAAGGTTGCATCCATCCTAAGGTTTTTGAAAAGATAGTATGATAGTAAACATTAGTATAACAGGGATTTAAAGAATAGCAAGTTGTACATCCTTGAGTTGTATTCCAGAGCCTCACTATGAATTACTGGCAAGATGGGCTGGCAGCGAAAAGGCAATTTGCTGCATAATCCTGGCAACCCATGTCAACCCAAATAAAAGTCAGTAGGAGAGAACCAACTCCAGTTGTCCTTTGACTTCCTCAAGCATTTCATGGAATGTGGGCAAACAACTAGAAATAATAATTTAAAAATTATTTTCTCTGAATATTTACTGTGCTGACCTCAATGCTAAAAATATCAATAAGTTAGTCTATCTACAATTTTAAGGAGATTCCCACATAACCACTTCTGAGGCTACATAATGTCATCTGTCTCGGTGATGTACTTACCCACAAGTAACCAGTCAAGTTATTCAACTACACAAATTAACTGTTTAATTTCTAAGATGCATAATCTCATACATTACAGCCTCTAAAACTGTAATGCATCTTAGAATCAATGTGCTGGGATAGCATCTTCATAAGGATATGCAATTTCTTGTTCTCATAGAATCTTAATGATGCAGGCAGCAAGATGGTTTACTGGGTAACGGTGCTTGTTGCCAAGCCTGATGACCTAAAATTCAATCCATGGGACCCACATGATGGAACAAGAGAAGCAACCTGTCCTCGGTCCTCCACACATATACTGTGACACTCCCATATATCACATAAACACAGAAAAGTGTAATGAAAATTGCTTAGTAGATAAAGGTACTTGCTGCACAAGCCTGTTGTCCCAAGTTCAATCCCCAGAATTCTCAAATAAATGTGGAGAAAATACTCCAAAAGATGCCCTCAGACCTCTACCAGTGATATAGAACTTGTACCATACACAACACAAAATAATAAAAAAATGATTTTTTACAAACTTATGTGGAAAGTTTATTGGGAGAAGGGAAGGTGGGGAGAGGAAAAAAGAGACACAAAGACAGAAAAATAACAGGAAGAGAGCTAAAAAGGCTGTTTTTTTTTTTAATGATGGAACCCTAAAGCCAAGGACATGAAATTTTGGCTCCTTTTACAACATAAACCATTATTAACTTAAAAATACTTATCTGGGTGGGGAGCGGAGGAGTGGTATGGGTTGGGAACAGGAGGAGAAGGGGAAGGGAAGACTGCAGTTAGAATATAAAAATCAACATAATTTTAAAACTTCTAATATAACACAATCTACAACAAAAGAACTGGAAATGTAAACATCTTAACAGTGTTTAACAATCTCACATTTATATTGTTCTTGCCCATAACAATAAGAAAAGTGAAACACAAGGTCTAAACTTAAAACATCATTTTGTGCAAAGTGCTGGCAGAGCACTAGGCACTTGAGAATCAGAACACTGATGGAATAGTATCAAGGAAAAAAACCAAAGAGCCCACTGCATTTCCATTGTGAACTTTACAAGTCTCCACACCACCATACTCAAATGTATGGAGTGAAAATACCAAGGATGACCAACCACATTGTCCTCCATTTTCTATCCCAAATATTTCTCAATATTCCTGCAACAGAACTCAGTCTTCCAGAACATGCTAGCCCAATTAAAAAAAAAAAAAAAAACCAACAAACAAAAACTACCACCCTAGTTAAGCCTTTCCAAGTCATCTCCTCTTCATCTTGTTACCAAGCAACATACTACTGAGCTACACCCTCAGTTCCAATCTATAAAGGGCTGTGGAGTACCACCTGTTGTCACCTCTAGGAGAGGGCCTCACTGCTCACACAGTACAGCACAGCATGCCAATGCCTGACACCTGATAAGTCCCAGCCTGTCAAACTAATAAGTGACTTGTAGGTCTCATAGTCACCAAGAAAGACATTACTTGTATTATCATACTTTGCTCACAAAGATACAAGTTAGGTCAGCAAAGGCTTGCCCAAGCTGTTCCTCTCTCACCACAGGAATCCTCTCCACTGGGAACTGACAGAGCAGTGGTAACAAACACACACATAAACAGAACAAAGAAGGATGTAAACAAGCCCAGAACAGGGAAAGGTATTTCTAGAAACAGGCTAGAAGGTCTCCCCTATCTTTTGCCATGGAAATGTTCCAGATCAAAGGCCATGTTATACATTGTAAGAATGAATACATATTACTTTTCTAGGATGCAATGAATTATAGCCCAATTCTTACTAATCAAAAGATAATCAGTGCTATTAACATCACTGTGGGCCTTTGCACATGTATGCACTACAGAATTAAAGAAGGATTTTGAAAAAGATTTATTTTTTATGTGTATGAGTCCTCCACTGTGTGCACAGTGTGTGTGCCTAGTGTCTATGTGGGCCAGATGGGTGCTTTGGATGACACTATACCTGGAGTTACAGGCTGCTGTTTGTGAGCTCCCTAACATTGGTGCTGGGAACTGAACTCTGGCCCCCTGTGAGCACTATTATCCACACAGCTCTCTCTTTAGAACCTAAAAAATGTTTTGTTTTTTCTCATTTCTCCCCCCACCCCAGGTCAGGGTTTCTCTATGTAATAGCCCAGGCTGTCCTCAAACTCACAGGATTCACCAGCCTCTGCCCCCCAAGTGCTAGAATTAAAGGTGTACACCATCACCAGGCCTAAAACTAAAAAACAAATGTTTAAGCAGTAGCACAGTGGCTCTGCAGTTAAGAGCACTTGATGCCCTTACAAAGACTTTATTTAAATTCCCAGCACTGACATGGCAGCTTACAACCATCTGCAGCTCCAGTCCCAGGGATCCAACACCCACTTCTGACCTCAGTGGGCACCAGGAATTCATATGGTGCACACACATACATGCAGGCAAAATACACATACACATAAAAAATAAATTAAAAATTGAAAAATATCACACTGAAACTAAGACCATGTATATTTCAAGTAAAATCTTATTTCCTCAGAACTGTAGTTCACTGTGTAGTCAAATGAGTTGAAAAATGTCAGATATAAAGACACTATTACCTTATATAATTTTGCAGCTGAATTTTACTTTGTCAGAATTCATATTCTATTCTGCAATTAACTCTGAAATTTTAAATTTTGCCTCCAGTGAACTTCAAGGCTGACATAAACCCAGAGGTGAAATAACGGATTTTCTTTCGTTTTGAGGCAATCTTAAAAAATTAAAAATTAAATAAGCTTTTACACCCGAAAGTCCTAAGAGGGATAGCCTGAAGGACGGGCACAGGTTCTAAGTAAACACTACATCCCCTTTTCAAAATAAAAAACATGAATATTCCAAGATTTTGATATCTACATGGTCCTGGAACAATCTCTACAAATTTGAAAAGCTCATGACTGTATAGAGAAGTACATTATATTCTCAGGATATAAAGTAAGTATTGGCAAACTGGAAATCTTATTTGTTGGGAGACGCAGAATTTTAGTATTTCAAAAATGGCTTATTGACAGGCATTAGTGGTGCATGCCTTTAATCCCAGGACTCCGGAGGCAAAGGCAGTCTGATCTCTGTGAGTTCGAGGCCAGCTTCATCCACAGAGCTAGTTCCAGGACAGGTTCCAAATACAGAGAAACCCTGTATCTAAAAACCAAAAGAAAGGGGGTGGGGGGAAAGGTGGCTTAATTTAAGCCATTACTAAATAGTTTTGTTGTTTGGAGGGGGGTGTGTTTGTTTGAGACAGGGCTTCTGTGTGGCCCTGGCTGTCCTGGACTTCATCATGTAGACAAGGCTGGCCTCGAACACATCCACCTGTAATAATAATAATTGCTTAACAGGTGCAATTTCTAGTTGTGAAGCGTGTGGGGATGATTTTAGGAGACCCTACACAACTTTGAAAAGTTAAAGTGGAAAGGTTCGTGTTATATTTTACCACTACAAAGATAAAGTTAGCTTTCACTGCTTTCCAAAACCATTACGTTGTTAACCCGACACAATATGAAGGACAAGCTTGTCTGGTCCTGTAGGGCAGTTAACGCAGAGAGAAACATTTGGACAGCCGTCTTGACCAAACCACCACCAAAAGCCTTTACACCATGGGCCAGAGCAGAAAGGACTCGGGCTTGCCGGCGCTTTTTAATTTCTGGTGCTGCGATACTTGAGGCTTCATATTGCCCGAGAGCACCACGCAATAGCCAACTCCCGATCATGTACCGTCTCACTCTCGCATTTTAAACTGCCCGGTAGCCATTCGGTGAGCGCAAGGCTGGCCCGTCCACTCCCACCTGACGTTTCACCCCGCTCCCTGAAGCGTCCCGAGGCGGGTGAGCCCGCAAGGCCCCCAGTGGCGCGCGGCTCACCAGGTGTAGATCTGCAGCTCGCTCGAGGGCACGTTCCCGCGGGAGAACTCGTCCATGCGGTGGTGGCGGCCGTTGTTGGTGGTGAAGACCCGCAGCAGGAGCGGGCAGGTCTGGGGAGAAGCGGGGACTCACTCAACGCTCGGCTCGGCCGCGCCACTTGGCCTTCCCGCCCACCGGTCCGCAGGCCGCGCCAGTCCCCCCGCCCGCCCGCCCGCCGACCGGCTCTGCCCTGCAGCGGCCCGCGGCCCGCACCTTCTCGCGGTCGATCGGCTTCTCGGGCTCCTTCTTAATCTCCTCCTGGGTAACGCGCGATTCCACCGCCATCTTCCTCCTTCGGCCCGGGAGACGCTCGCCCTGACCTCCGACCCCTGCAGCGAGCATGAGCGAGTAGTCTCTCGCGAGGAAAGGCACGAGGTTTTATAGCGGGCGAGTGACAGGGCGGGGCCTCGGTCGGCGCAAGCGCATTTCCTTTGAGTGCAGCCAGGGCGCGCCTGCGTGTTGCCCTTCCTGGGGGTGGAGGGAATGGAGCACACGCATGCGCAGGGGACTACCAGCGGGTGCTAGAAAAGTTTGTTTTATGTCAGTGTTCCCAGCCCAAGTAAGCTTAACGTGACGTTTTCATACGTAATGATGAAAATATGCAGCGAATAGGAAAGTCTTAAGAACGTTCAGGTGATATGTAAAAAATATGAGCAAGGTAGTGATAGATACTGATGGTAAAAGGGGAAGGGACTCCTAACGTAGACCGGTACTGCAAGATCAGCAGAGAAATGACGACTTTTCTGTAGGAGGTGGTGAAACCGTCTGTTCTGGGGAAGGGAGAATTGGACTCTTATGTCACACAAAATTCAAGTGAATCAGACCGGGCGGTGGTGGCGCACGCCTTTAACCCCAGCACTCGGGTGGGAGTTCAAGATCGGCCTGGCTTGTACAGTGAGCCCCTGGACAGCCAGGGCTGTCGTTTTGTTGCACGAATTCTATTATTCTTAAAAACTTGGAGTCAGCTCTCTGGATGTGAAAGTTGAAGGATCAGAGAAGCAGAGCAGCCAGCCACTAGAGTTCTTACCTCCTCGGACTGACTACTCAGACTGCATTGAGCTCCTGTCTCCTCCTGTCTTACATTCCTCTCTTGGCCCAGTCCTGTCATTCCTGTCTCCACTTTAGTGCTATTCTCTTGCTGTTCTTACAGAGGACCAGATGGGTTCCCTGCACCCGCATGGCTACTCCAGTTTCAGAGGGTCTGATACCCCCTTCTGGGTTTCCCAGTACTACATGCATGTGGTACAGACATACAAGCAGTCTAAACACCCATACACATGAAATTAAAAAAAAAAAAAAAAAAAAAAAAAAAAAGCCTTTAAAAGGATGTAGAGTGTCCTTAACTACAGACAGAGGCTGCTCTGGGAGAGGGGTCAGTAGGACTTATGTCCTTTCTCTAGGACCTCCATCCCCAAACCACTGAGCCCTTACTGGTTAACAGAGCCAAGGCAGGGTGGGACAATAGGATTCACTTGCTAAATCTCAACCTAATTTCCCATTTCACTATGTGCTATAATCAGAAACTCTTCCCCTCTTAGACATCTCTAATAGAAGGGGTTTTTCTTGGTTCTGGGGCTGCTACTAGATCCCCACCATATTCCAGCTTCCTCTGCTATGAGTGGCCAGTTTTATAAAAGGACATGATCACCTAAAATCCTTCTCAGGATGTCTCATCTTTCTATCAAATCTGGAAAGAGTTTTTATTATTTAAAACACTAGCAATATGAGGCTTTGCAGGGCTAGATTTTTCTGGTTTTGTTTGTTTGCTTGTTTTAGATAGTTTCTCATTAAGTACATCAGGCTGGCTGAAATACACAGAGACTTGCTACCTCTGACACATCAGATAACTTAATGAAAAGCAGCTTTATAAGGAAGTCCCAGTTCTCTTGGGAGGTAGAGGCAAGAAGATCAGGAGTTCAAGGACACCCTTGACTAATTAGTAAATTCATGGGCATCTTGGCCTACATGAGAATATATATATATATATATATGTATATATGTATATATGTATATATATATTTATATATATATATATATTGTGCACACACACACAACACATACAATAGTAGCACTGCCTGACTTAGGAAACAGAGACTAAAGGAGAATTATGATTTCAAGGTCACTTTTAGCTACATAGTGAGTTTGAGGGCTACATAAAACCAGCAGGATCAGTCTATGTCTATCAATAAGATAGTAATTCATTGAATTGTCATACACTATATTCTAGTCCATCATCTTAACTACTCAGCCACAACTGCTGTACACTCTATTCTGTAAAAATGTTTAAACCATCAAAGCATGGTAGGGACAAGCCTGTAATGGCAGCACTGGAAGGCTGAAGCAGGACTGTTGACCAGGCTGGCCTTGAACAGAGCTCCACCTGCCTCTACCTCCCAAGTGCCAGGATGAAAGTGTGTGTCACCAGCCTCCGTTTAAGGTTGATTTTAATAGTATATTTAAGCTGTGACCTGTAATACCAGCAGTTAGGATGCTAATGTAGGAAGATTGCTATGAGTTTAAAGCCAGTATGGCTAAGAGTGACCCTGTCCAAAAAGGAGGAGGAGTGATGGCCAGCTCAGTGGGTGAAGGCACCTGCAAGCAAGTCTGACAGCCTAAGTTCAAAATCATTCCTAGGACCCACAGGGTAGGAGAAAGAATCAGCTCCCATAAGTTGTCCCCTAACACACACACACACACACACACACACACACACACACACACAGAGAGAGAGAGAGAGAGAGAGAGAGAGAGTAATTGAAAAAAGGAATAAAATCATATCCATATTTTTTTGCTGTTGTGGAGCAATCTTTGTACACTGTAAATATGTATTGCACTCATTATTAATAAAAAGCTGATTGGCCGATAGCTGGGCAGGAAGAGATTGGGCAAAATAGTCTGACACAGAGAATTCTGGGAAGAGGAAGGGTAGATAGAATCAGAGGAGTTGCCAACAAATGCAGGGAGAAGGAAGATGGGCATGCCGTACTGAGAGAAGGTACTAAAGCCACACGGCAAAGCATATAAGAAATATGCGGTAGAGCAGGGGGTGGTGCACACCTTTAATCCCAGCACTTGGGAGGCAGAGGCAGGTGGATCTCTGTGAGCTTGAGGCCAGGCTGGTCCAAAACCTACACAGAAAAACACTGTCTGAAAAAAAAAAAGAAAGGAAGGAAGGAAGAAAGAAAGGCAGGAAGGAAGGAAGGAAGGAAGAAAGAAAGGAAGAAAGAAAGAAAGAAAAGAAAAAGAAAAAAGAAATATGGGTTAATTTAAATGTAAGTTAGTGACGAGCCTGAGCTATTGGCTGAGCATTTCTATTTACTATTAAGTCTTTGTGTCAGTTACTTGGGAGCTGGTGTAGGGGACACAGAAACTTCCACCAATGGTTTGCACTTTTCTGTATCAAACATTATACTATTAACAAAATAGTTCCACCAACAATAGAAAACACCCATGAAGGCAGGGCATGGCAGGGTGGCAAACACCTTTAATCTCAGCACTTGGGGGACAGAGGCAGAAGGGCTTTTGAGTTTGAGGGTAGCCTGGTTTACTATTCACATGTGTAACAGCCTGGCTTTCCTGGAACTCATTCTGTAGACCAGAAATCCACCTGTGTCCCAAGTGCTGGGATTAAAGGCTTGCACCACCACCACCACCAGGGGGTGCTTTTGTATTTTTCTTGACAAGGCGTTGCCCTGTAACGTCAGGTGGCCTAGAACTTTCAGTGACCATCCTGTCCAGAAGCACACCGTTACTGCAGCAAAAATGCAAACTCAAACCACCATGGGGTCACATTTCACCTTGCTAGACTGGCCTGTGTCAAGGCTACAGACCCGAGAGTTCTTTCAGACAGGGCTCATCCAATTTGGAAAGGAAATTGGAAATTGGAAAGGAAAGCTGCCTGTAGAGAAACTAGTCATATATACTCCTTCAGACCCCACTAGTCCACCCCTTATGTTTACCCCAAAATAAACTCACCTTGAACTTAGGGTACCATATTGGCTACTGCTAGCATCCCTTGCATGACAATTGGAAGCTGCTTTAGGAGTATATTCTGCTATGGTTTTGTTTTCTCAAGATAGGGTTTCTCTGTGTACCCATGGCTGTCCTGGGACTCATTCTGTAGACAAGGCTGGCCTTGAACTTGCAGACATTTGCCTGCCTCTGCCTCCCAAATGGCCAGGATTAAAGGCGTGCACCACCATTGCCCCATTTAGGAGTATATTCTTAGACTGAAGAAACGCAAAGGCGAAAGAGAATGAGGAACACTATACTCTTCCAGGAGAAAGAGGAAAGCGAGCATGGAATAGATAGGGGTGCATTCAATCTGTATGAGTCTCCAAAATAGAAAATCTCAGCGGACCTTGCCTGGGGAAGCAAGAGAGTGAGCATGTTCAGAGTAGTGATGTCTGAGGTAAGTTCAGCTGCCCAGCTTGTGGGAGTCAGTATGGCTTCTACTGTGCTACAGTGCACCTCTGCACATTAGACAGAGGTGTGGGTTTTCATTAATATATCAAAATGTTGTTTTCTAAAGCTGGGTGTTGGTGGCACATGCCTTTAATCCCAGCACTCAGGAGGCTGAGGCAGGAGGATTATCTGTGAGTTCAAGGCCAGTCTGGTCTACAGAGCAAGTTCCAGGGTAGGCTCTAAAGCAATACAGAGAAACCCTGTCTCGAAAAACCAAAAAAAAAAAAAAAAAAAAAAAAAAAACATGCTTTTTAATATGTTCTTAAGATAAGATCCAGCAGGCAGTTCACCTCCTAGAGACTGGTTTTCACTAGGGGACCTTTCCAAACAACCCAGTGCTCACCAAAAGGCTTCCCCGATGCAGTGAGGCAAGAAATCTGCAGCTATTCATCAGGGAATGAGGACCAGGTGGGAAGGTACTTGCTGAGCAAGCTTGGTAACTTGAGTTCAAGCTCTGAAAACTACAGAATGGTGGGAAAAGGACTGAATGTACAAAATTGTTGTTGTTGTTGTTATTATTATTATTATTATTATTGGATTTTTCGAGACAGGTTTCTCTAAAGATTTGGAGCCTGTCCTGGAACTAGCTCTTGTAGACCAGGCTAGTCTCAAACTCACAGAGCTCTGCCTGTCTCTGCCTGCCGGAGTGCTGGGATTAAAGGTCTGTGCCACCAACGCCCATCCTCAACAAATTATTTTTAAGAAAACTAAGATCACTTTTAGCATCCTTAAATTCACTCCTTAGCTTTGTAGGAGCAGTTCTTAACTGTTCTTTAGGTATATGCAAGCTCTCTCTCTCTCTCTGTATTATTTGTTTATTTTGAATTTACATAAGCAAATATTATGCGCTGATATATACTCAGAAGAATTAAAGCAGGGACTCCAACAGACACTTCCTTGGTGTGCACAACAGCATAA